GATGAAATTAGAATTTCCAAAAGTGTGGTTAATAGAACATTAAAGAAAAACAACTTCCACCCCTATCATTCTGAGCATCACCAATTCTTAACACAGCAAGATTTTCAGAAGCGAGTACAGTTTTGTGAGTGGACAACTATAAAGCTACAAGATGATTTTTTTTTCAAAGGTGTTATTTACTGACGAGTCATTTTTGCCAATACTGGACGAGAGAATCGACATAATATCACCATTACGCCGATCATAATCCCAGATTAATAAGACAAGACGATCATTAACACCGCTTTAACGTCAACGTTTGTGCGGGAATATGCGGAGAATATGTCATTGGACCACATTTTCTTGAAGGAAACTTAACTGGTAATGGGTTGCAATTTTTACTAAACAACTTGCCCCACGTGCAGGGATATATTCCTCCGGATTACTTAAACAGTCAGTGGTTCCAACATGATGGTGCCCCTTCACATTCCACACTGGTGGTAAGTTTTCTAATAAGTGGATAAGTAGAGGCGGTCCAATTACATGGCCTCCCGGATCCCCAGACCTGTCTTGTCTTGATTTTTTTTATGGGTGTATGAAACTCCTCCGACAGATGTAGAAGATTTACGGGCAAAGAAAAGAAATGCTTTTTTGACCATAACTCCGGAAATGCTGCGAAATGTGTCAAGCAATTTTCGTCGTAGAATTGCTCAATGTCTAGAGAAAAATGGCAGACATTTTGAGCTGTTACCTGTTAATTACTAATTTAACTAGGTCTTTATTACTTTTGTTAGAAATGCACGATGTTAATTTACTTTAATTTACTGTTTTGGATCCTGCATGCGTGTGTTCTTGTTGTCTTCTCATAATTTGCATTTGTTGTTCTTTCAAACCTCTCCTTCAGTTTTACAAAACACTTTGTACGAGGATATCTTTGTAAATCTGGATTATTAGTTTGGTAAATACTTGTTAATAAACAGTTACCATGAGTTTTACTAATTATTCTATAATTTATTTACTAATTCTTCTTTAGAGTAATTCATTTCACAATTATTAGTCACTTTTCTATTAAACCTTATGTGAATCGAAAATTTTCCAGATTATCCTTTGACAGGAGCCTACTACGTTATTTTAGCTATTTGTATACTTCGCATTTTTTCATAGAAATGAGATTTCATGAAAAACTAATGAATTTTGGTATAGGAGCAGGTATAGCAAAGTTTTAGAGAATTTAATTCTGCATCTCATGGTATGAAAATATACAGGGTGTTGCATTTAAAAAATTCGAGATTTTTCAATTTTTCAATTGGCAATTTTGACATGATATTCTGGTTACCCTGTATAACGCAGGCCAGCTTTTGGAGCTTGATTCGGAAGAGTCATCCTTACTAAACATCTGATAAAAAAAATGGGCTTAGTAGCTATTAGTATAACCTGTCAGTATCAGAAAATGTAAGCAGCCAATATCGACTAGAAAAACCTTTCAAGCGAGATATCTCAAAAACTATGAATATTTGAATGGAACTATTCTAAGTACATCACAAAGTGCCCTTTATTTTTGATGTAGAATCCGAAAAAAAAACAAAAATTGTGTGTTTCCATTTAAAAATCCAAAGTTGGTGTCTGGCCAGGAAAAGTGGAACACCCTGTATATTTGAATATATGTTTAATTTATACACTCCGAGAAATGTGGCAACACAATAAAAAGAAAAATCCATATATTCCTCATTTTAACATAGATATTGGACTTTCCCGCACTAGTGGGACACGCTGTATATTGTGAGATGAACTTCCGTTATTTGTAAATTTATTTATTGTCCTATTTTACAATACTGTTTTATGTTTATGTCGGACTAATTATAAACCGCCTTGTATTATATTTAGAATCTATTAATAGATACTATGTTCTTTTGATTACTAATTTATAAACAGAACCCTGGGAAGGAACAAGCGAAATAAGATAAAATTAAATTTACGAGAGTATTATTTTTAAGAAGTCATAAATATAATGAAGACATGCAAAGTTACACATACTACGTTGGAAGAAATTTTGAATGATAGTAAAACGTTTTTAAAAATAGGTAAACTATATGGAATTCAGAAAAATTGATTTGTCTGAATGTAATACATTCCAAACTTTTTATTTTAGATTGCAAATTAAGTAATGGTGATAGTGTGGGAACTTAAAACAAATATTATGTATGCATCATCACCAATATACGATGAATACTTATTGTAACCAGAAAATATACCTTTCATATTAAATTGTAACAGTGATGTGGTGAGAAACTGTTAAGGCTGATTCCATTCATCAAAACAAACAAAAATACAGGAATAACGTTTTTCCATAGAACTGTTCTTGTCATGATCCTTCAAAAATTGATGTAAAAAACAATTTTTCGTCAATTTCTTAGGAATCATTGACTTCAAAACTAGAACAGTACGGTTCCGTCTCCGTCATGGTTCTATGTAAAATTGCATTATTTAAATTTATTGCAAATCGAGTAATACCTTCCTACTACAGAACAAGATATTGTCTGCGTATATCACGAAATATGTTCAAATAGGTCCCTCCTACGTATATCATGAAAGTATGAATCCTTTAATATATTTTCATCTATTAATTATGACAGCAGCATGAATACGATATGTGACATCTTAATTAACAGCAGGTTTAGGATATATTATTTGTTTTTCCACAAAAAAGAGGTCCATGGGATACAGATCTGGTCGTTTAGGAGGCTATGATATGCAAATACCTTTTCCAATCCATCTCAGGAAATTTTTTATTCAGGAAATTTCTCGCTTGTATTCTACAGTGTGCCTAATGGAATTCGAACATTAGCAGTGAAAAATTTAAATTAGAAAATTGAAAATACAATAGTTTTGTTCCTAGAGCAATTCAAATCAGTTTCCAATTGCCAGAAGCATGTGCAATTTGATATAATGCTTACATAAGGTTCAAAATTCATTGTTTTGAATCAAATACTAAATTGGGCTAGGTAGTATGTGTGACCTAATTACATTATTAATTTTTTATAACTCGTCTCAAATGTTTATCAAAATCTCTTGCGTGTTAAGTAAGGGTTTTTAATCTTATATTCATATAAGTTATTAAGTATTTGTGAAAACTACCTAAATAGGTACATGTTCATTCATCACCTCACAGATTATTTTTAATGATATCTGGATCATGGTTTACAAAATGCAGTAACCATGTAAAAAAATTAACACAAAGTTCTCTGCTCTCGTTACGCAAAACTTGCATATCTGGAGACATAAAAATCTCCATCTACATACCTACTAAAAATCTCATCAAAAATCATTTTGGACTGGGTTACTACAAAATAATGTACTGGTCCACACATTTTACCTCACCGAATCAATTCAGCCTTATGTCTTCAACTTTCAAATTTAAATTTTCCATTGCCATTGCGCGTTGATATTCCGTTAACAATGCATTAATCAAATTAGTAGTTACAATAAGATAATGCTAACACTATGAAAGACGAATGTGTAAATATCTGACTGAAAAATTCTCTGAGGAGTGGACTGAAAGGGGTGGTCCCATACTATAGCCTCTTAGACAGGGTTCGTAGCGGCCGGGAAAACCGGGAATACCGGGAAAAGTCAGGGAATTCGTTATTCTTCATAAAAAACAGGGAATAGTCAGGGAATTTTAAAAATATTCATGAAAGTCAGGGAATTTAATGTTTGTAACTGGAAATTTTGTGAAAGCCGGCCCTGTGTTCTTGAAAGAGAAAACTATTTGTGGTTTTGAAACCTTTATAAGAGGTTCTTAGGGTATAAAAAAGATTATGGAGTCCAATCAAGAAAAAATTTAATGCATAAACACCAATTAGTATGTAAAAATGAACTACAAGTGACCTGGATTTTATTTTTATAAGTCAGGGAAAACCTGGAAAAGTCAGGGAATTCTTCATTACTTTTGAACTATGAACCCTGTTAGATAATCAGATCTAGATGGCATGGATTTCTTTTTGTTTTTTTTTAAACAAATCAATGAGGAAGACCAATCGAAAATCTTTCCACTCTTCTTATTCTTTTCAAACCTTTGAATCAAATCCTAAAATCATGGGCATCAATTTTGAGACCCCCTGGTCAAATAAGGAACTATTTCGTTCTACATTTGTTATAAAAATATAATATGGTGGACGTACAATTTAAAAAATAATCACTGAAGAAATAAGCAAAAAGCAAAGTGAGCATAATCGACACGTCAGAATATCAGAGATACATTTCCTTATTCTGACAAAAATTTGAAAAATCCCTGGTAGCAAAATCTTGCGCAAGACACTTAAGACTGCTGTGTACCTACTGCTGAAATCAGCAACTGCAAGATTCATTGTCAAATTTTCTTGATCAAAGCTTTCAATGGATTTGATTCAGGGCACTTGAGCACAAAGGGGTAAATTAAAGCAAGTGACTATGTTGCAGACTTACATTAGAATTAAGTAAGACTATCATATTGTACTTGACTTATACTAATTCACCCCTTTGGACTCAAGTACTTTTGGTTAAGTCTGGTGTAAGTATTGTAAAAAAGTATCTCGCATAAGAAACGATATAAATTTCGGCAATACACACAAAACAATTTGACACAATTCGGCTATTTCAAGTAAACTTGAAACAACTTGTATTAGAATTGTACACGATTGTGCTACCAGGGATATTTCCTTATAACACAACTGGCAAAATGTAGAACTTATACAACCTGGTTAATGCGACCTAATGGTCATTCTGTTATATTTTTTATATGGTTTTACCTATACTTTTTTAGTAAGATAGGTATCTAAATAAAATTTTCAAAATCAACGCATTTCAAGATTTTCTTTAAAGGTCGATCAATAATATCTGGAAAATGGCCCATGAGCCGCATTATATATTTTGGGAAAAATTAAATGACAATTATATACACATAATAATCATTTAGTATTAAAGGAACTGTGTAAAATCTGTCATGGCAATGTTTATGGTTAAAATTAATTAACTTTTTTCAGTTTGCAACTTCGTAGTGCATGATCGCTGCTTGAAGACTGTGGTGTCCCCGTGTTCCAGCGTCGCCGCCAGCCTCATCAAGGTAAGAACATGTTATTTTTCAACGGTCTAATACTTTTGGTAAATTTTTAATAATTTCAATCAGTATTGAAAACATACAGGGTGTTCCCGAATTAATTGAAAAATATGAAATGATGGAAGCCTGCTTGATTGAACAATTTTCGAATCTGTTGCCACATCATTGGTTTAGATTTCTTGAGATTTTAAAAACAAACTGAAACTAAACATTAAAAGAAATCAATCGATGACATAGCAACCAATTCGGGAATTTTTTGACCGTTGACCATGATTCATATGTAATTTTTTCATCCATGCTTACCCTGAAAGTTACGGCCTCTTTTAGTTGGGGTAGAAATCATTATTTATAATTTTACTCCAATAGAAGAATTAATTTTTAACTATAGATCCTACCAATGAAATGTTATTGTACTAATCAATATATTTCTTCTTTTTTTTTTTGGTCCTCCGCATTCACCTGATATAAACCAAATCATTTGCCTTTTTTCTTAATTCATTTATTTTGTTTTTTAAACTTTTCATTTGTCTTGCAAAATATCTGTATCTACTTTAAGTTTTGAGTAAAAATGATATCTGTAATCTGCTTGACATTTTTTTATTATTACCATTACCAAACTGTTGTGTACCAATCAAGTTTAGTGTTCTTTTTGGGAAAGGCTTGCTTGGAAGAATCTTGTTTCTTCTTTTCTCAGCTATTTCTAGGACACCCTAGGTATCCAAATATACAGAGTATGTCTACAGTTAGGCTGGATCCACGTGCATGAGTCATCACGGATCCGTTGTAACCACGTGATCATCAACATCCAACTGTGAATCAGTAAAAGTGACTTGACACTCAAGGTCAAAGCGGATTGAATGTTGACGCTCACGTGGTTACAATGGATCCGTAATCACGCATGCATAAAGATCCAGGCTTAGGGTGGATAAGAGGCATTTTTCTTTATTGAAAATAATTATAAAAGAAACTTTACTTGTTTTTATGGTAAGGTTACCATGGATGACTGTAAATTTTCATGTAAGAGTAAATTGGATTTATTAGTATTAGTATTAATATGAAAAATGCTATTAAGTGAAGTTGTTATTTAGAATTAAATGGTACTCAGTATACAAATATTTTCTTTTTTTTTAGTTTGTTCATTTAAATTAATTTATTATCTGATCATCTTTACGATTATAATTTAAGCTTCTGTTACATTAATCAATGGAATGACAAATCTAGGATAATCCTTACTGTTGCCGACAAGCCAAAATTTTATTTTGACAGTTTTTTCAAAATCAATCTTTTTTTATTACAGAACAATCAAAGTTGGCTGGTTTATACCTAAATTGAAATTTTCACACAACTTTTGATTATAAACAACCTTCTTTTATAAGTTTTTCTTCTTGACATGCAAACATAAAAATTCTCTTTTACCACCTTATTTGATTAATGGCTTTTCTTCTTAAATAAAAAATTAAGAGAGTTTTTCCTCCTATCAGCAGTAACGACCGGGGACATATACTTTTTTTGTTTTGGGTGGGTATTTTGCCACAATGCAAATAAAAGAATATAAAACCAAATATAGATAGAGGCTTATACCACAAGGATCAGTCATTAGTTGCTTTTAACAAACTTATTTTTGCCGATTTTGAGATAACCTCTAGATTCTTGTGGCGTAAAGTGATATTTACCTTCTTTTTTTATTAATTGTGGCAAAAGGCCCAAAAAAAGAAAAACTATTTAAAAAATGCCATGCACAAATAAATACTTTTGGATGTCTTGATAATTTCTTTTTCATTCAAAATCTAGTCCTAATATATCTTTTTCTTTTTCAGAATCCGGTAGCTCACTGTTGGTCGGAACCTTTCCATCATAAGCGGAAATTTTGCAATGTCTGCCGGAAAAGATTGGATGATAGTGAGTCCATCCACTGTGAAAGTAAGTTTTTTAAATAAAACAATGTAACACAATTTAATGAACACCAGACGGAATCATTAAATAACAGAAATTTAATAAAGTGTTACAAGAATGTTTGTTTGTCTTATTTTTTGACATAGTTAATCCTCCTGCTTTTTAAAAAGATTTTGAAACAGTTTTTAACCAACTCATTTACAGCTTGTCATCTGTAAACTTCTGCTGACCAATGCTATTTGAAAGTCTGACATCACTAAATTCGAACAGTACTATGGATATTGCAATACCTCAAATTTCAGAATATTTAAGTAAAGTTTTAAGAAAATTATGAGAGTTGACATTGTTGTGAGGCAACAACACTCTTTTTGAGTGAACCTCCAGGCTTTTCGGTCTTATCACTAGCTTTTTTCACCCAAAAGGGAATCTTAAATTTTTTGATATCATGAGTTTACATATGAAAATGATAAAAAAAGTTGTGCAAGGATGGTTGAAAGTTGCACTAAATACCTGTGTCTAATAAATCAGGAAAGCTACGTCGAAAGGTAGGACACAAGCAATTACTTTATGCTCTCTTAAACAGTATTATTATTTCTCTATATAAATTAATTAACCTTATAAGAATTATCAAAGAAAATTAAATTTTGTACTAGTAATTGATGTTACTTAATTCTGCCCTGATTAGAAATACCTCGCTGTTTGTGATAAAAGAGATCAATTTAAACAATCGTCGTTTTCAGTATGTGAATACTTCGTGCACACGGAATGCCAGGATTTCGCTGTGGCTGACTGCAAGGAGAACGCCACTTATCTTCCGGGTAAGCAGCTCGTCTACGTCCACCACCAACATCACTGGCGGGAAGGCAATCTGCCAAGCAACTCCAAATGCTATGTCTGCAAGAAGACCTGCTGGACTACGGAATGCTTGTCGGGCTACCGGTGCGAGTGGTGTGGAATGACGGTATGTCAATCATTGTTTTATCAGTTCAAGTATCAGGAAAAAGTTTTGTAATTGATTTTTTAATATATTGTAGACTAGTGCTCAAAAATACATAATTATTTTTTCCAGTGTCATGCTGCTTGTCACGTGAACGTAACAAGCGAGTGCACATTTGGGATGCTGGAACCCATCTACCTGCCACCGCATGCCGTTAGCATTCCAAGGACCGAGGTACCCATGGAGGCCATCATTGGCGTTCAAGTTAGGAGGAAGGATACCCTGTCTCGTGAGTATTCATGTCGTAAGTGTTGCTTTTGTATTGGTTCTAATACTCATTAATTTATTTTTACATATGATTTGCTGCTGTAGCTCTACTAGCAATATAATTTGACATTCATCTGTTTTGTGCGTTGCCTTTTAGCAATGCGTCTTAGATAATAAAATAAATTTTTTTTAAATTTTAGTAAATTAAATACGTTACGCTTGTCATTTCAAGGGTTTTTATGAAACATCACCATCTAAATAAAAAGCTACTTGTTTGCAGTGAAGTGGTAAAAATGGTGCAGTGTCTTCACTATACCCCATATCATAAAACGTGTATTTATTTATGCTGGTATGTTTTATTGCTTCACTCTACTTTTATTTCGTCTCATAACTATAAAGTTATTCTAAATATTGGGTGACCCAAATTATAATATGATCCCTATTGTTCCACATTAGTGTTAAATACTGTAAATGGTAATATGTGCAGCTCCAACCAAAAGTCGGCAACGAAGTATACAGTAGCTCCATAGCGGTTAGAGTTGAAAACTATACTGTTTCTGACTCTGAAAATTAATATTGATAACTTTCTTAAAGAAAGCGTGCCAGGTGTCAAGGCAAATTTGAAATTAAATTGTAGTATTAAGGAAAATATGGAAAATGTCTGTAATGATTTTTATGAATTATTTTTAGATAAATATATAAATGTATTAATTAAGGTTTTTCTAAATAAAAAAAAAATTAACAAAGTAAGAAATTGCTGAGAAATAAAATAAAATCTATGAATATAAAATTTAAAAAATTAACACAATTATATAATGCATTTTTATTTTACCTGTTCCTAATAACATATTGAAAGTGAAATTGTATCATGCCGTTTTCAATAATTCATTCTTTATTTATTTTCAATGCAGACTAAATGACATTATTCCAAGTATTACAGATTTTTGAAAACTGATAATCGTTTTATTCTATTTTTAAAAACACGTAAATCCTTTGATGAGGCAATTCCAGGCATTTTTTGATGTTTAAATGTAAATTCAGAATCTCAACTAAGGAAAAAATGCTTGTGAATACATTTATGTATTGAAATTAAAATACCTATGTAGTTTTATTCCTTCAAAGACTAAATTTAAAATTATTTATAATAAAACCGACAGATTTTATATGCTACTTTATTTTATTCTGTGACCATATAAAAGAATAATTATTTCAGTAAAGGCCTATCGCTTATTTGTAGTTATCGACATATTCACATAATTACCTATATAAACCTTTCTAATTAAAATGAAACTTGCAAGTATACTTATAATATTAGACTATGATACGAAATTTGTGTAGTTTTGAACTGGAACGATTTGATAGTGCTGTTTCGGCGGTTGCGTACATAATACATATATGGAAACTATCAAAAGCTGGACATATTATCATTAAGAGTATTTGATAATAGCGACTTACATAGGACATTAATAAAATAGGCAAATGTACTAACTACTTAAGGAAATAATTTTTTATCACTTCCTGATTAACAGGAAATTCAACTGATGATGTTGCAGTTTTCAACTGATTGATTCTCATCATAGTTGTGAGCCAACCAAGGCATGATCTGGTTATTTTTTGTCTTAACTACAGACATAGAGTAAGTAAAAGTGTGATACAAGGTATGAGAAAGTACTACATCTATGAATTGTCACTGCTGCTACTCAATAGGTACCTAAGCCTTCGATGCAGCCAAATGACAGAAAGTGACCTGCAATTTTGCAGAAAACAATTACTTTACAAGCTAAAGCCCTGGCTAGCATTGAATTATACCCACAATATTTAGTAACACTTTACTATATATTATATATCGCACTTATGCTTACTCCACGTCTATATTTTTGTATTGCTGAAGGTACATGCATATTATACAACCTAATGTTAAAAAACAATTTGCTTTTGAAATTAGTTCATTTCTTGCCTATTTTACTCATGTCCAATAAGATGTCATTAACAACTGGAAATAAGCTACAGAAACTGTGGTTTGGCTCACCCAGTACATTTTTCAAACAATAGAAAAACAAAGATGGTCATTGATAACTACAACATAAATTACTAAAAAGTGTTTTAAATGCCACGTCAGTTACTTGTGAAAAATATTTACATCTTGAAAAAGTATTAAAGATAATTTCCAGCTGCCTATTTAAATTTTTTTATAAACTGGTCACTTTTGAGTTATAATTTACCATGTTTTATTTGAGAACATAAATATTTTTTCATACGTATCTTCATGCAAGGGTGATGTGCTGGTATTGAAAGTTAAATTTTAAATATCTATTTACAAGAAAATGGCTTTTGGCTGAAAGAACCATATTGAAGAAATAAAGAGTCCGAAAAGCTATTTTGAACTAGCAAGCTCAATATATTTTCCCAATTGCGGTGTTAGCCTCAGAATGTTGTTTTTATTTTCAATAGGTTAGTTTTCTATATTTTAAGTGCTTTAATTTTCTTTTTAATTTTTTATTTTAAGATAACAAGGGAATGATTTTGCAGTCATCAGTGGCGATAGCGTTAGGCGGAGTGCTTCTTTATCAAGTGTTCTGAAGCGTCTTTCTGTTGTTTTGCCGAATACTTGCCAAGGCAAATGCCAGCCGCAATTGTCACCCCCTTATGTTCGAGGTATATTTGGTTTGCAAAGTTTTTTGTTTGTTTCTCTTAAGGTTTGGCACTTCGCTCTTGTGTGATTTTCATCAATGCTTCTTCTCTTGCAATAATTATGTTTATACTTATATGCAAGCCGTGTCTTAGAGATGCACTAACTTACTGAATTATATTTTGAGCTTATCTACAATGAAAATAATAATTATTAATGGTGTTCCTGAGTACTAAAAATCAATATATTCATAATTTTTTGTTGCTTAATATATTTTAATACGCCCTCCATTTACTCATATGATGCAAAAGTTAATTAATAATTGTTGATTTTCTTTTTAGCAAAATTTTGTTTGAGACCAATTTAATTAATAATACATTTTGGAAATTTCAAATAGCAAATCGCTTTAAGTTAACACCCTCTTTCTGACTGTGGCAAATTAAATTCTCTTTAATTCCATGTACATATTTAAAAAGTATCTATAAAAAATCTAATTATCGCGCTATAATTGGTAACTTGCAATTTTAACAATTTGTCTGAAATTGTTAATAATATGGATATTAAAGGGTCACAAGGGTCATTTTTGCATATAAAATATGTAGTGAGTAATACGTTTTAACTCCATAAAGAATTATGTACTGTTGTATAATACAAATATGAATTATTTATTTTTATAGCACGGAGTACCTCGGAGGAATTTAGCAGTGGGGATGCTGGTCGGTATAGGGATTGTGAAGAATACGCACAAATTCATGCACCAGGACGGGATAGCCGGCAAGATAAGCAGAATAAAAACCAAGAAGAACGTGACGAAGGTAACAATATTATGACGATTATTAGTAGAGAGCGGACAATTTGTGTCTTTAACCTTGAACATAGATATGTCATTCATAAACCTAGATACATTATCCATGACGCAGTGGCGTGTCGGGTATGCATCGGAAATTTACGTGATAATTCACGAAAATACCACGGTACATACATTTTTAGGTGTTGTAAAATATTTAGAAAATCAGAAATTATATACTACATATTTATTCAATAAAGTTCGGTTAAAAATAATGTCGTTCTTTTAATTGGAAAATAGGAGTCAATGTAACGAATATCCTCAGGCGACGCACATGATAGAATAGTCCAACTCACGCTCCATTCATAACAGGGCTGCAGTTTGAATTCTGACCAATAGGAATTCGATAAACGCAACCGATGTCGACGGATCCACTAGAGATGGGCGCGAGTGTTATTTCATTTCTTTAGAACTAAATTAACTTAATTATTTCCTCGTTATTTTACCTGTTCACATGATTTATGGATTTTAAATAAAAGGTACAAATCTTCGCGAGGATAATACGGTATATTTGCTATACATAATAATTATATTTTGCATAGTTTATACACAATACATTTTTGAACGCATACACATCTCTACCAAAATTTGACCTATTCTTCGGGTTAAAGACACACATTGTCCGCCCTCTAATTATTAGTATTCATTTAATTTAAGACCGTATTTCAAGGTACAGACTATCAGTACTATGATTTAAAAAAGGATTTTGATTAATAACTTTTTTGTTTATTAATATATTTAATTGTAACTTCGCATAGATTTTTTTTCTGCAATTTTGATATAAAAAAATTTAAATATGTACTGGAAAAGTACTACTTTTTTACACACACCTATAATTCAAATGTAATGTTTCAAATGTAATGTGTTTTGAAGCAAGCATATTTCTTGTATTTTTCCGTTTTTTTGTCAAATTTTGAAATAGGACTTAATTTATGCAACTTCCTTGGGTATGTAATGTCGACTCATTTGTTGATTTCTAATTTCTGTGAAGCGATAATCTATTTGAATCTATTTTCATTTTGAAACTATCAACAAAAAACTAAAAGTTAGAATATCTGGCATTACTTCACATTATACAAAACCTGCGTTAATAAAATAAAACTTTAGCATTAATAAAAACTTAACTGAGCATAAATAAAAGAGTAAACCATGTTGTGTGACATGACACCATTATAATCAGAAAAATGTGCTGAAAAATATAAAAGTTGATTTTGATGCCTGTAGGAAAAAAAACTTCAATCTTGTTTCTCGGTCTTGATGATGCTTAATATGACAATGCAGTGTGTCCCATTTTTCAGGTTAACACCTCTGGCAATGTGAGAAGGCTGTGGATTTTCCGCAAGCGAATTTTTTTACAAATAGTACCCTAAAAGGAGGTTATATTCTACTAATCATTTTAATGATGTAACAAAAGCCTGGCCTACTATACGATTTTTTAAAAGGGTCGTTTTATAATTAAAAGTTTTAAATTTATAGTGTCTGTATTTTTTCTTTGTTCGATTGGCACTTGTTTTCACTTTCATGGCAATCTTTGACCTGCTTATTATAATTTTAAGCTGTCTGATTTTTCAAAGTTTGGCTCCACATAAAAGAACACTCAATAGACATTTGTTGTTCAAATTTGGTATATGGGTATTTTGAACGGTGATAAAATTATCTTTTTGATAAAAAAAAATACCTAATACCACTTTCTGGAAAAACGACCCTTTTAAAAAATTGTACTAGACCAGGCTTTTGTTACATCAATAAAATGATTAGTAGAATAAGTATAACCTCCCTTCAGGATACTACTTGTAAAAAAAAATTGACTTGCGGAAAGTCCACAACCTTCATATTTCCAGAGGTGTTAACCTGAAAAACACTGAATACTATAATTTTCTACAAAAAAGTATCCTAATAATGTTTGAGTTTAAACCACCTCATTTTGTTTTCGATTAAAAAAAAAAGTACCTAAAACCAGTCAATTATTTTAGTTTTTTCTAATTGTTTTTATTTTGTTCAGAATGAAAAAAGGTAGATCAAATTCGCCGTTAACAGGTTATTCATCATTAAATTCTGCAAATGTGTCGTAATCTGAGCATTGCGACTTAAAAAAAAGGTATACTATAAAAATATTTTTATATATGTATTAGAAGTTTAACTCGAACTACCGAGATCCAAAATGACAGAAGGCATGATGCATGGAAGTTATAAATATTATCAAAACCAATTTCTTCCACTGAAAATTACTTTCTTTTATATCAAAAATATTATATCCTCAACCAAAGGCAACAACGAATCAGTGTGCAATACAATAAAAATACTAAGTGAACATCACATAAAATATTTAATTTTTTGAACCAACTTCTATCTTATTTCATTAATATAACACACGGGTCAAGCTGTTTGCTGCCAGAATGTCAGTTTTGCAAATATAACGGGAACCTTAATTTTTTAATGGACTATTTTGCAGAACTTTTCTTATAATTACAGTAATGAAATCTGATGAGTCAACTCTTATAACAAAGGAGATCTAACCAAAAAGCGTACCATAAATATAACATGTTAGACAAACACGTACTTGGTTGCCTTGTAACAAATAGTGACAGTTTATTTTTCTAACACATTATGTTTATTTCACACTCTTTTGGATACAGTCCATATGATATTTGTTAAGATATAATTCCAAGAAGACCCCTGCATCACTTTCTTGGAATTAACTGCCCAGCGTAAAAAGACATTGGCAGAAAATTTCAAGGCACGCCCTTGCCGTGGTAAATTATTACAATAGTTCCCATAACAGAACTTTATTGGCTTATTCTTTTCTTGGAATTCTACCTCAAAAAATATTGCAATGACTGTATGTCACTTGTTCTTAAAAATGTGGATCATTTCTAAACTAAAAGCAGCTTATATAAATAAGTAAAATTAAAAGAGTAGATTACAAAATTGTAGATGGTACTATTCTGTCACATTTACAGTGACCTTCAACTTAAACAATTTTTTTTTAATGTAATCAATAATATTGCCAAAACTATTAATCGGGTTTACTTAAAATGTCACAGAATAGCAAACATAATTATTTCTTTAATCATTTTTTTTATCACAATTTACAGCAGTAATAAATTAGAATAGAACTATTAGGCTCATGTAACTGTAGCCTCCTAATTAAGCTCCACAGTTTTAACAGTGATTGCTTCACACTCGGATAATGCACAGGCTACAATCTCCTCCTCTTACTTCTGGCTGAACTTACATCCAGGATAATTTACTCAAATGTTTCCTAAATCTGCAATAACCTGTTGACAGTTTACTGTTATTCCTTTATTTTGATTCAGTAGGTCCGCCATCAGTCAGTCACGGTCTTTTAAAAAAACTTGTACCTACATATAGTTCTATTTTGCTTGTCTTTGTAACAATTTATTTATTCACTAATTCTATATCAATATTTTTAACTATTCTTTCACATTTACTACTTAATTAATTAATTTATTTTTTTTTCAGAGGTTATAAAGGTTTACGACGGGAATAATTCCCTAAGGAGACGGATCTTCAGAACTATCGTGGTGTCCAGGCAAGCTCCCTTAAGTCAGGTGTTAACACAGGCTCTGAGGGCGTTTCATATCACAAAAGACCCAAATTCATTCCATCTAACAGATCTCTACTCGCAAGATGAAGCCGTTCTGCAAGATCCTACTCCCGTCTTAAGCGTTCATAGGAAGGAAGGAAAGCGGCCAGCTGTTTTTCTTAGATTTAAGTAAGTATTTCATAGATGTTTCCACGTAATTCAAACAATAGTTTAAATGACATTACAACTTAATATTTTTTAATAGTCTTTTTAATGAGTGTTAAATTATTCCTTGTAGGGACCGTGATAATGATAAAGGTGAAGTGCGCGTCTATCCCGGAAAACTCCAAGTATCTCAGGCATTCTGCACCGTGCCTGTGGATTCAAATACGTCTGTTGGCGACCTCATCCGAGAAGCGCTTAAACGCTTTGGCCTTGAAAACTATAACTGTGAAGACTATCGTTGTAGTGAAGTACTTCTGGATAGAGGGGGTAAGTAATTCCTTTTTACACTCGATTGCCACTTATGAAAGTCTACCCGAATGTCATTATTTTTTGCCAACTGTTACTATTTGGTCCAATATCTGAAGCAAAGTCTATTCAGATTCATTATTCTTTTATTACCTAACATCTCTGAAAATTCACAGTCTGAAAATTTTGTTGAACGTTTTTTTGTTTCAACAGTATAGCTAGTGCTCATATTAAATTTTGTTGTTCCTTATCTGATACCAGTTTCCTCTCATCAGTATTAACCTTTTGATGTGGCTGAAATACATTATAATTGACTGTTATTGTTTTTAGTGGTTACTAGTGATTACAGCAGTGCATAATTTCAGTATTTGTAATATACGGTGAATGCAAACAGTATGATGCAGCGGCAGAACAAATGTACATGAATTGTATATATTTGTATTGCTTGTTCAAAGACTTAACCAGTTCTTCTTTAAAGCAGTACCTCTCGATATAAATCAGAGAGAGTAGTATTTACAAGACAGACCTCCACTCTGCTCTTGCTGTATAAGAATTTTTCTCGTACTCTGGACCTAAAAATTGTATTACCTACCAGAGATTATGTTGAAGATTTATCACTTTGGACTGAATCTGCATCATAGACTGTTAGACAATGCCAGGACATTTTTGTAAATGCACATAGTTCTTTAATTTAACAGGCTCACTTATACAGGTTGCCCCTTAAATAATGAAACACAGAGCAGCTATAGATTGTCAAAATAAAACTATTGAGCAAACATGTTGTAGTAAATGTACTGTACAGGGTGTTTTATCTAAAATTTTTCTTTTAATTTCTAATGATTGCTCAAGAAGTTAGAGATATTAAATTAAAAATTTAGGGAAATCTGTTTTAAATGATGACAAATTATGAAACGTAAATGTCTAATAACTAATAGGGGGCGCTAGTAACTTTATAGAAAATTACAAAAAAGGGCTCAAACTTTAAATGGTAACTTTATGGCTATTTTTGTTAGATATTATGGTGTAACTATTTTTAAAGAAAAATAATATATTACACCACAAGGGCCGAAAGTTGAATTTTTGGCCCTGCTCGTCATGATGCCCTCGGCTTCACCTCGGGCATCATGACGAGCAGGACCGAGATTTCAACTTTTGGCCCGTGTAGTGTATATGATTTTTCTTCATAACCGGTTGAAAGTACGTTATTAATTTTACTTTTTTTAACTTTAAATGTTGATAAGCATCTGTATTTATTATCAATCGCGCTTCTGCATCGAAATTTCGTATAACAACTTCGTCTATGGATTCATCAGATGACAACGTATTGTTCATTTCTGCTGGGTTATTGAATTGACTTTTAGAGGTAGCAATAGTAATGACAGTGGTTAACAATTTGTTATAGCGACATAATAAATAGTCCCCAGTTACGAGTATAAATACGCATGAGAAATTCTTTCCTCCCGCCGTTATAGAGGGCGCGTGTGTACTTTTCAGAGGGAGTAAATGTTAAACTTTCGTCCCTGCTATTAGGGACGAAAGTACGTACTTTCGACCGAGGTATGAAGAAAAAGTTTTAAAACGTTAAAGCCATATTCGTTTTGAAGTAAAATGTGGGTGTACTTAATAAGCACTTTTCCAAGCTGAAGTGAATCGATAATGAAAAACAACACTCATTTACAAAAAGTAGATTAAACCTCTCAGATATTTGTTGATAATAATTAAAACAACTGTTTCGCCCATTTAATTAATTTGTATTCATCATATATATCCCATAATTTAATGTTATGTCTTAAAATATGCCTTGATATAAGAAATTTTCTAATAAAGAAATGAAAGATATGATTTGTGTTTATGCTAAAGACTTAATAGTGCTGAAGCAAATAAAGGAGGCAACCAGGACCAGGACACAAAATTAAAAATCTTTATGACCGGGTAGGTGCAACAGGGTTCTTTCATACAAAACAGAACAAGAAGAGGAAATTTAACTCACGTTGTGGAAAATCCACTAAAACTTGTTTTAGATTAATTAAAATTTAATTAAATATCTAAGAAAACATATCGACGTAAATAGAGAACATTGTGAAAACGTAGGTATTAGACGTAGTATGTGAGTTAAACATTATAGTGAGTTAAGACTAGATTTTGTTTTGGTTTTTCATTGTGATCAATTCACATCAATTAGGAAATGTACCGATAAATGAAACCACACTTTTCTTTAACAGGAATAGCTTATTTAACGTCTTGAAACAAGTGTAGTTTTTTTTAAAAGAGTTTTTACATCATAATATCTAACAAAAACAGACTATTTAAAAAGTATTAGCACAATTTTGTAAATTTTTTATATGTCATAATTTGTTATCTTTTAAAGGGTTCTTGAGTAGTGATAGAAATTGAATGAAAAATTAATTTTATATATAACACCCTGAATCTCCGGTAAGGAGTGACATTTTACTAATTCATGTTTTGCTCAAATGTTTTATTTTAACGTCCTTTACTCAAAGCTCCTATTCTTAGTGGGACATCCTGTATTTTGACTAACGAAATGGCAACATTGAATAGGTACTTACTTTATATGTTGTTTGAATATGACTTCTCTTTCCTTCTTGACATTAGTAGTTATCAATATATTCACACCTTCTTGATAACCAAATTTACTTTGTACTTAGTTACAATTAGAACTACTCTTCTGAAATCAAATCTAAAATTTCAATATTACAACCATTTTGGAAGATGCTGAGTTAGCACTTATCAAGTAAAATTCAGGTTCTCTAAACAAATCTAGATGTCTTCTTCACTTCTCTATGATTTTTGATTATTAAGCCACAAAAGATAGTCAAAGAACAAACTTTTAGGGCTATTTTCAGAATGCTCTCACGCTTGCAGTTTCAAAGTTTGTTCTTATTGTATTAATTGGTTTCCAATCAATACTTGGTTCACTCGATTGGTTTATTCAATTGAAAGATATGAGTAAAAAGTTCTGGGATGGCACAATTTTATAGACATATCCACATCAAATACTGACTAGTTAATGATTTTTTTTTGTTCTAGTTACGGAGAGAGTTTTGTCCTGGAATGAAAGGCCGTGGGAAATCATGAAACAACTTGGAAAGGACAGCATTAGACAGATGGAATTAATGAGGTTTTACTTACAGCTAAAACAAGATCCACATGGACCAAATCTTGCTTTATTTGTGGGAAATTTACCACCCAATCTTTCCGAGCGAAATTATGAAAACATTTTAACTGAATTCCTAGGCAAAGGTAATATTAATAAACCGTAAGCCAATATAACCGTTAGTATATAAAAATATATGTAGAGATTCCTGGAGAAAAATGCCAATGTTTAAGGCACTTTTATTTTCGAAGAGATATCCTGGATATCTCAGAAACAATTAAAGATAAAGAAACTACCATATTTTAGGGATATTTTTATATATATTAAAAATTAAAAATATAAGTAATAACAGTAATTTTATTTCATTCACGTTGGCAATTAAATTTTGGTAAAATTAAAAATGATTAAAACATTTAGATCAAGATTACATTAAAACACAAGATCCTGTTTTCACCAATCAGCAATTGTATTATCTCAAGCGTAGATGTAACGGTTTGTCATTGTAAACGAATCATTAATGTTGGTAACACTAAGATTAAGGAATTTTTTGTTGATAGTACCAGCCGTTTAATGTTGGTTGCCTATGCTCGGTGCTCACGTGACTTGTGATCATTTATAAAGGCTTTGTATAACATATACATTAGTGGAAAGTAGAAAAAAATCTACATCTTTGTAGGCAATAGGCAGTTACAGTTTCCAGTTAAAAAAATTATATTTATATACTCTTTGCTTCACAGCTTATTTTCATAGTTTTACTAAAAAACTATCACTAGTCAATCTTATGCTAAATTGTTCATATAAGATACATGTCCTGATAAGTTGAATAACTTTTAAAAGTGAAGATATAGATATACTTATCAAAAATGACAATAAAATGATTGATCGATTGATCTGATTAAACAATTGAATTTATGTTAAAAATCAAGCTCTAGAATGTGTTCCTTATATATAGGCTGTTTACAAATTCCCTTCTCGCTACAGGTATCTCGGAAAAGGTAAGAGATACGAAGTAGCTTAAATGGGGGCAAAGTTGCGTAATCAGAGGAGCAATATTATGCCTCTAAAAAATCAAGGCTAACATGATTAGTTTTCGAAATATTTGACAAAAAACCGAAATTTTGGAAATCCGTTTTTGTTTCATTTCAGCCTTGTTTGAGGCGATATTAAATAAAGAAAAACACTGAGAATGCCATAATCAGTTTTTGTATGTAACGTTTTGTCTCTTCAGGACCATTATCAACTTCATTTTTTTAAATACGACTAGAAATTTTATTATATTTTTTACAAGCCTTCATGACCCCCAATACTGTACTGCCTCAGTCCGAACCAGATTCAGACATTTTGCTTGAAAAATTCATCTTCAGTGTATTCGACCCAAATTTATCTAAATTTTTTATTTAGCTTTCTTTGTTTATTGAATTATCGTACACTGTAAGTGTCGTTAGAACCTGTGAAATCCATCTAGTTATTTAAACTATTACCACCACGCGTTACAATAAAACATTTATATTATTATTAACTATTACCACTACTTGGTCATACATAACTCAATAAGTTGTTGCGTCAAAATTAAAACATTATTACAATTTTAATTTTATTATGACAAATTAATTCTTAAATATGCAAATGAACAGCCAAAACGCCAACTGAATATTAGTCTTTAAAAAATTTCAGTAAATGTTCAAAAACATTTTCGTTTTGGCAAAGGTTGAAAATGAAGATCAGCGTAATATTATCGGAATTTATTATACCTGTAACCGCAACTGTGAAAGAGTATGTCAGATGTATTTGTATGAATATCTTGAAAAAAATAGATCGGAATTTGTTTGGAATTTTGAGCACTCGAGAAGCGTAGAAATAACTATGGACACGGGAATAATACTCTAATAATGTTTTATTTTAATGTGTGGTAGTAATAGTTTAAATATCTAGATGGATTTCACAGGGTCTAACGACACTTACAGTTTACGATAATTCAATAAACAAAGAAATCTAAATAAAAAATTTAGATAAATTTGGAACGAATACACTGAAGATGAATTTTTCGAGACAAAACATCTGAATCTGGTTCGAGCTGAGGCAGTATAGTTCCAGGATCGTATTTAAAAAAATGAAGTTGATGATGGTCCTGGAGAGACAAAACGTACATACAAAAATTGATTATGCCATTCCCAAAGTGTTCTTCTTTTTTCAATATCAACTGAAACAAGACTGAAATGAAACAAAAACAGATTTCCAAAATTTCGGTTTATTTCAAATATTTCGAAAACTAATCACGTTAGCCTTGATCTTTTAGAAGCATTACGCAACTTTGCCCCCATTTAAGCTACTTCGTACCTCTTACCGTTTCCAAGATCCCTGTAGTGAGAAGCGAATTTGTAACAGCCTGTATAGTAAGTTCTGAAATAACATAGATTTCTATCAAAAATGGGACAGCCTGATATATACATTTATAGACTGTAGCTCTTTCTAGGTTCACTATATAAAACCGTTGCAATAAAATGAACGACTTAAGGAATGACGTCAGGCAGAAATATAAGCACCATTAGCTAAACCATTTAATCACAACTGATAGTTTATGCAAATGCTAAAGCATTGTCCGCTTCTAGTGAGTTGGTCATGAGTAATAAATATGTAAATAAAGCAATATTTAAGTACACAATTTTACCAGTAAACTGGAACATTTTTTGTGTTATTCTAATATAAACTTTACCCTAAGGAATGAAAATTTTTTAAATTATGTATTTTCAAAATTTCCTCATATATACAAAAAGAATCCCTTTTTGGCTTGTGGTAAGTAATAACTACACCTTTGCCCCTGCAAATTGTAGAATTAAAATAAATGCCAATATTCTGCGTACATAAAATTGATACAAACTCTTTTTTTTAACTAAGTAGGTATATCTCTATCCAAACTTGTTCAGCTCAACCGCTATAGGGCATCAGAATAATACTTACTTACTTAATTTAGTACCACAACAAACACCAAAAATCAAAATAACTCGGAAACGCACAGGAATTTCGAGACAGAAGAATGGACATTATTTTTGTTAAACTATATGTATATAATGAAAATAGCAGTTTTTTTTTAAATAGTCATTGGCGTAGAAGTTCTGTTTAAGAAAGGGGTTGAATACGACTCCGCCACTGTGCAAGTTTTTGAACATTTTTATCGCTTGTTTTATGCCCCTTAATTAATAGGCGTTATCTCCCAAACATGAAAAAAATCTAAGCATTCGTTTATAAGTTATAATGAATATTTGAGAAAAAAAAATTATATTCAACACCCCGTATCTCGGAAACAAAGCCTTCTACGACATATGTTTATAGGAACTTTTCTTTTTAAAAACATGTGTTCTATCTCCTGTTAAAGTTTGTCTACAAAAAACTGCCTCACCCTGTATATACGGAGAAAGGGAGATATACATACACCTATTATCCTGCACTTATATTCAGCAGCGTGCTATAAAATCGTTAGCTTCAAAGCTCTCTATCTTTAAATCTACACATAAGATCGCTTTGGGCCCATGACAACTTTTGCTCAGGAAGGTGAGAGCTATATCATATTTCAATTTCAGCCATTTTGACCGAAAGCCATTTTCCATAAGGTTTGTGCGGGGTCCTTTTTGATTACAGTACATAACTATCATTTTAATTGATATGTATAATATACCGGGTAGGAAAGCGCCGATGGTCTATCACAAGTTACGTGAGAGCGATAAAGTAAGACATAGAAATCCATGCGATAGAGAAGGATGGCTATAATTAAGGCGTATCATAGTCAACGCCCATTTCGCCCTTCCACAAATAAGAAGTGGATCTTATTTGTGGAAGGGCGAAACGGGCGGTGACAAAGAGAAGCCTTCATTATAGCCATCCTTCTCTATCGCATGGATTTCTATGTCTTACTTTATCGCTCTCACGTAACTTGTGATAGACCATTGGCGTTTTCCTACACGGTATAATATTAATAAAACAATTACTTACACAAAAATTATTAGGAATATGAAACATTTACGACAGAGGAATAATTTTTCCATTTCTATAAATATGTACAGGGTGATTCACAAACAGTGACCAAAAATTAAACCTTGTATTCTTTGGTAAATTTCGCACAAAATTTATATCTAGGATCCTTCGTTAAAAAGATACAGGGTGTTAAACTTAAAAATTTATTTTTAATTTTTTTAAATAATTTAAAAACTAGCAAGTGAAATAATCTGAAATTGGGCACATGTAAACATTGTCCAAAATTTGACGCCTTTTTCTAAAATTTAAATGCTCTAGTGACGGAGATACAGGGTATTGGTGGCAAATTTTTTTAAATAAAATAGTACATCACTACTTTAAGGTAACAATTATGATATTTTCAGATTCGTCTTTCAATTTCTATAAATTATTATTCTCTCATATTTTTTGAAAAAAGTGTGATTTTCTAGTAAAACTTAAAAAACTAACTGAAAACACTTTTACTTAAATGACATGACAAGCACTAATCATTCAGTTATTTAATCGAATAAAGAAATTAGTCATCATTTTAATGATTTTATTTGAGTAAATGCTCAAAAAATTCCTCCATTTCCATGAGCACAGGTGCGACATCTTTTTAGTAACAAAAATGTAATTTGTTCGAAATTTATTGTTGCTTGAATATGATTCTTTCTTCTAACTGCTGAGGTGTATTAATTTATTCACTGTATACCAGCCGTTTAACAGCACCCCACAATAAGAAAACGAATGGGTTGAAGTCCGGTGTTTTCAATTTGTTTTTTAAGTTTTACTAAAAAATCAGGCTTTTTTCGAAAAACATAAGAGGATATAATTTGTAAAAAAGTGAAAAATGAATCCGAAAATATCATAATTGTTACTGTAAAGCAGTGGCGTACTATTTTATTTAGAAAAATATGCCACCGATACTGAAGCATTAAAATTTTAGAAAAAGGCTTTAGATTTTGGACAATACTTACATAAATACATGAGCCCAATTTCAAGTTATTTTACTTACTAGTCTTGAAATTATTTAAAAAAATTAAAAACATTTTTTTATGTTTGTATCTTTTTAACGAACCATCCTAGATAAAAACTTTATACCAAAGACTCCCCTTAAAATTCATCAAAGAATAGGAGGTTTCATTTTTAGCCACCGTTTGTGAATCACCCTGTATAACAATCGTGCCAAATTTCATTTAAATGGGATAAAACGTTTCAGAATTATTAATTAAACATTTTTGGGTAACTTTAACACCCTCCAAAGGCTAAACAAAGCAACTTTGGATAGAGCTAAGTTTACTTAAACTTTATTTTAACCTCAAAAATATGTAATAGTTCTATGTACACCGAATCTTGGGGCACCCTGTACATCCTTATTAGAATTTCATTTGTTTTATTTCTAAAATATCCCGCCACTAGACCACTTAATATTTCTAAAATTGGTATAAAATTTATAATGTTCATTTTTATTTGTACTGTTCTAGCTAGCCATAATTTAATTAAAAGAAAATTATTCTTTTGCAGAAAATAAATTTTCTAAAATCGGTCCAATCTACTATGAATACGGTTCTATGGTGATCACTTATGAAGATTCAGACAAGGCTGTAAGAGCACTTTATACTTTACGAGAATCAAAATTTGAAGATAAACAGCCTTTACTAGGTAAGCTAAAAATGTACGAAATAATCTTTTTTTTTTCATTATTTCCCAGAGTTGTTATTTATAAATGTTCATGTTTTTTATATACATATCTAAAAATTTGCTTTTTGTAAATGAGCAATATAACAAAATATATAATTTTCAGGAATATGTTTTTTTTGTGTATCACTGAACTTGATGTACAAAAATGTGTTTTGGAACATTTTTTTTTGCTCATTTGTTGGGTGATTATAGATTTAATAGCTTATTTAGCCAGTGCCTATATCTGCTCGCATATTGACCAACATTATACAGACACAGTTCGAGTGTTACCCTGTGTGGAAATTGGTCTCAATACTGTAGACCAGTGGCGACACTAGGGGAGGACCAGGGGTGGCCCAGGCCACCTCTAAAAATTTATCGGCCACCCCTAAATTACAAAAGTAACTGTCAAAATGTTGGCCGGGACGAAAATAAAAATATCAAGTCAATAAATTTTTACATAATTTTTATCCAGCTTTCGAAAATCTATTAACCTTAACAAATATTGCTCTTACATTGCCAGTTTCTACCGCATGCTATGAAAGATCTTTTTCGTGCTTAAAAAGAATAAAAACCTACGTTCGGACAACGATGACTAATGATAATTTGTCAAATGAAAAAGTCACAACACTTGACCTTGATTGCGTTGTAGATGCATCTGCTCAAAATCATAATAACAGACAAATTTTGCTGATATGATAAAAATTTGTTATTTTTTTAAATAGGTTATTTAAGCTTAAAATTGTTTTATACTAAAGATAACTCTTTAAAAATATCAGAAATATTGTTAAATCAGAATAATTAAACCTTTTTTTATTATTAGATTAATAAGTATCAAAAATACATATTTTTCACAATTAGATATATTGTATTCTTGACCACCCCTTTAAAATCATTAGCCACCCTCTGGCCACCCCCCTTATGATAAGCTGGCGTCGCCACTGCTGTAGACTCTTGTTAATATTTTGGTTTGCTTATTTAAAAGCCTTACTAAGAAATATAAACGAGTTATTGTTATTTGTTTTCAGTTATGTTACTTCCCAACATAGAACCTTCGATGATACCTCACGGAGTACAACCTCTATTAGTGTTCGTTAACGTAAAGTCTGGTGGATGCCAAGGCCTTGAATTGATATCCAGCTTCAGGAAATTGTTGAATCCTTACCAGGTATTCGATTTGGATAACGGTGGGCCCTTGCCAGGCCTCTATGTGTTTCGAAACATTCAAAACTATAAAATACTCGTGTGTGGTGGAGATGGTACAATCGGATGGGTACTACAATGTTTGGACAATGTTGGGCAGGATTCTCAGTGCTCGTCCCCGGCATGTGCTATAGTACCGTTGGGAACAGGTGGGTATACTGAAATTTTAAAATTTTGATCTTTACATTTTTCTTTTTTATACAGTGTAGCACATTACAGACACCTCAGTCTATGTAAAAAAACTTAAATATATGATTAAATTTTATGAGCATATACATTGGCTATTTTGCATTCCAAGTAGTTCAAAAAAAAGTTGTGAAGTTGTGTGTTTTTTAATGAAATACTCATATTTTAATCTCACAGGATTAAGATTGATTTTTTGATCACTAGTATTGAGGTTTGAAGGGGTTTATATCTGGTCAATTTTGAGATTTTTTTTAATGCACAGTGTGACTCAAATGCGAAGAAATGGAAAACAATTATGTCACAAGGTTGTGTAAAAAAGTATTTGTATTAGTTTTACAACTGAATCTACAGCTTTTTAAAAGAATTTTAATTAATAGGTTAACAGATAAGAAAATTAAGTTTGAATGAGGTTGATGTCTAAAAATAATAATAAATAAACATAAATTAAAGTTCGTCTAACACTGTTATTATCGTGAATAAATTAAAAAGAAAAATATCGCAACAAATTTTAAAAGTTAGCTTCGGTCTGTATCAGGTCGTACTCTTTTTCTGAAACAAACTCACTTTTTCTTATTTGCAAATTAATATTCCTAATTTCATTTGCATCTTCTTTAAAAGTGTTACTTTTTAATTTGTTCCTGCTATCACAATGTTTACACTATTTAACTAATATTATACAGGGTGTTTGTAAATAAGTGCGAAATATTTTAGGGGATGGTTGCCGAAGTTATTTTGCGAAAAAAGTTCATATAAACGTAGGTCGAAATATGCTTAATTTCCGAGATACAGAGTGTTTAAATTTAAATTGTTATTTATTTTTATTAATTATTTCAGTTTTAAAGATATTGACTCGAAATTTGAAAAATGCTTTGGAGAGATAAATGTGTACTTTTTGGGGTGATCAGAACATTTCTACTTGCCCATTTGTGCGAGAATGCCACAACCTTTTTTAAAAAAAAAAGTGGTATGCCACTGCCTTTTTCCCGTTTTCATGTTTTTTTATAAAGATGCACAGTCAATTCTGAATTAAATTGGTCTCTTCAATTTTTTTCGTAGGAAAAAATTAAAATTTAAACATTGTATCTCGGAAACGAAGCATATTTCGACCTACGTTTATATGAACTTTTTTTCACAAAATAACTTCAGCAACCACCTCCTAAAATATTTCACACTTATTTACAAACACTGTGTATATTATAACTAAATACATTGTCAGAATTAATTCCTCTAGGCTAGCCCCGGCCAGCATTGAATTACTCGTATAATATCTTTTTGTCTTTTTTCCTCCTGTAGTTAGGTTCTATTCAAGTTACATTTCACCGTGGTCTTATCAAACATATTGTGTGTCCCACTGTTCAAATCTATTCAGCAAGTAGCTTTGTCCTATTAACAAAATCCAAAAGCTTACTTGCCGACACTTCTCTCAGCTCCTTGGGTTACAAGTCACATCCTCGGCAGACCAAACTATCTACAAGCCTTAGTTTGTATATATGTCTACTAAAGTGATAGTGTCCTGTTATTAGTCCCCTCATTTTCCGGAGTCGAATTTTATTCAAGCTTAGCAACTTTTCTTCTCCTAAGAACACTACATAAGTTCCTTAACTTTGCCCTAGCCTCGAAGCTCAGTATTTCATATATTCTGACTCAGTCCATTTCCCAGAGCCCTCCTGACCACATAAGTTGATGTGCTACAGAATGGCTCTGAACCAATGAAATTTGTTTCGAGTTCCTTTCTAACAAGTTCATACGCTTTTCTGTCCTAGCACCCAACAGTCTAACTGTATTAGTGGTAGCCAGTTCAGTAAGCAAGTTTTGCAGTAACCTTATGTGTGTCTAAAGCGTTAATTGCTGTGTGACTGTATCTCAGTCCATATATTCCTGCACCCGTCCCTTAGCTATTTTGGAGCCTTCCGTAAACCGTATCAGACCCCATCTTTCCAGGGCATCAAATTTTTCCTCCCATTTGCTCTGATACTCCCATTTGCTCAAATAGCCTATGGAAGCGAAACCTTGTGACCATCTGGTTGGATACCATCCCCAGAGTTGGTTTCGACATAAATGTTTCCATAATCCTGGAATAGGAACTACCTCTTAGTCATTATTATTTCGAAGTCCGAATGCTGCTAACCACACTTCTCTTTTCACCACTATATGAATTGGTAGTAGATTTAGCATGACTTCTAGTGCAGCTGTGGGCGTTGATGACATCGCCCCTGTTATACCCAAACAGACCAATTTTTGGATTTTATTCAGTTTTTCCTTCCCCATGGTCTGTTGTGTTTTTTGCTACCATACCACAGTGCCATAAAATATCCAAGGTCTTACTATCGATTTATACATCCAGTACCTATGACGTCTTTGGCTTCAGTCCCAATAAGGTTCTAAGGATAACGCGGTGACATATACACAATGTCTGCTTCGCCTTACTTACTACTTGTTCCAACATAAAAATTCATTGAATTGCTAAATAAATACAACAGCCAGATATAACTTTAGATATTGGAAATCACTATCATTAAGAACTTTGGAATTTCAACCTTGAAAGGAAAAAAAATTGTGCTTTATTATACTGGGTGCACTTGTACACTGTTACAAAGCCTCTTCTATTCTCAATACTTTGGTTTTTTGTTGATCGTAATATCTAAATTTTTGTAAGAGATACACAATTTTATATAAAACTGCAATTTCAAGATAGGGATTTTCAATAATTATTTTCCTCTGGAGTTTTTTTACACATGAAAAAAATACATTGTATTTTTTTTTAATTTTAACAGGTAATGTCTCCCTTGCGTACATGGACTTAAAGAAAAACACTAACTGGAGTTTTAATCTATAATTAATTTATTTATAGGGAATGACTTGGCGAGAGTGTTAAGGTGGGGCCCGGGGTACACGGGAGGTGAAGACCCTTTAAATCTTCTCAGGGATGTAATTGATGCCGAAGAGATTAGGTTGGATCGTTGGACAGTGGTTTTTCATCCGGAGGACAAACCTGACGACAGCGTTAAACAGGTCAATTCCACCGGTAAGAAGAGGCAAAAACTGTCCAAAATGAAAGTGACCAATGAGCAAATTAGAAAAGCAGGTCAATCATATGTGTAACTAGATGTTGTTTTGCTGTAATGATAACTAACACGAAATTTAACTGAGAAATAACAAAGTAGTTTTTATCAAAGAGACCCTACAGCTGCAATTTTCTAAATATGTTTTAAGTATTCTAGTCAAATTAACATCTTTATTTTAATATTTTAAATTACTTTTAAATATAAACTTTAAAAAACATTATAAAACTAAAAATTTAGAGACTTAATGCTCGTTTTTGCATTAGCATCTGTAACATCATATTGGATATAAGTAAAATAGACACAGACAAATTCATAAACAAATAATTTTTCTATCATTTTAACTCAAAATTATTTTTTAAACACTTGTATGTGTATTTGAGTTAAAATTCATCAAGTTTACATCTTAGATTGTTTCATTTTACGTATGAAAATCATTAAATTATAAGTGGATCCTGGGAACTTTACATTTTATTGTTACTTAAACGTTTTGCTGCTCTTGACAATAAAATTTGCAAAAACAAAAAAGTCCTCTAAATGTTCATAAAGTGCATTTTCAAGCTTATTTTTATGTCTAAACAGCTCCGTGCGGGTTTTCTAGGATGTGTTAAAGGGGGATGATGTGATCATATGGGATTAGTCAGAATTTAATCAAATTGTGATATCATCAGTCAACTTGGGTAATCCAATCATATAAACAATAATAAAACATATTGGTCGAAATGGATTAAACGGCAATCCTCACCAAAGACAGGCTTTCATAGGAAAGCGAACTTCACATCATATATTTTTTTTCAATTTGTATGTACGATTTGCGGTTTAATTTTGTTGCTGTTTTATGTCATATTGGATTAAATTAACATGAGAAATGAGTAAAACTGTGTATTTTGTTTAGAATTTTATAACTTTTTAATAGTACCTGTTTTAACTTTCTTAAATGCATCCCTATCTACTTTCATGATTATGCGATTCATGACTGCATGAAACTGTTTACTTCATTATCAGTTTAGTAAGTATTTTTAATTATTTTTTTATTACGAATATTTTATAAAACAGCAAACATATTTATTTTGAAACATACATACATATTAGTTAATATTTAATGGATCATACAAAAAGTATTAATTCTTTAAAATACTAAAGAATTTTTTTAATGTTTGGCATTCTGTCAAAAAAATATGGTAACATGTCACAAAGTCATAAAAAAATCAATGCCACTCCGTTAGCTTTATAAAGCCATATGTAAATATTTAAGCTAGCTTAACAAAGCAAATGGTGCAAACGGCCCTAAAAATGACTTTCTTTAATAGTATTATTTTGTGTCATCACAAATAAGTACTCTTGCCGATTTTGAGAGTTTGTCCTTTCCTGAACGCCATGACATGTACATACAAACTTAAACATCTCTATTGCAACCTTATTCTACCAAGAATAATTTTCTCGTAAAGTTATTATTTTATTTTTTTGTCGACATAGACCGACGAAAAAATAATAATTTCAGTTTAATATTCTGGGAACAAGTACTATTACCCCCAAAAAAGCGATCCTTGCTTAAAGGTACACCCTGAATACTAATATCTCGGTCATTTGAGAGATAACAAACAAATACATCATTTTCATGTAAAAAAGCATGAAAATCTTAAACTTAAAAACAACAATAAAAATAAATAAATTTATAATTTCTACCTATACATTAGTAGAAATAGCTTCAAATATTATAATAGGTAACTATATTACCCAAAACATATCCAAATCTACTGAGAAACAAAAAAATTATACGAAGAACCAATTTTCAACTCTCAACTTCAAGAGCTAATAACTCAATAGGGCCAGACTGAAGAAAAAAATATATAAATTTGTAACATTATTTTTCTGAGATCTATCTAAATATGAAAGATAGAATGAATCCAATTTGATTTATGTTTTATATGTTTGAACTTGTCAAGAGCAGCTTAAATATAATATTGGTTTTTCAAATAAACATCTTCTAAATGTTCATCATGCAAGTGAAGTATTAGTGCCATCTTCGGGGACAATGAAATTTTCCAACAAATTCTTAGTTATGAAAATGGTTTGGTATCAGTTTATATGGGTTTCTATAACACACTTAAGGAGGTTTAAAGTCAAATGAGAGTTTCTGTAGATTCGCTACTGACTAAAGTAGTAAGCCTTTAGATTTGGCAACGTTGCACTTGGCTGGCACGCTCGGCTCGGCGTTCGCTCGCCCGCGTTCGATCATTCTGTTTGTTTGGATGCCTAAGCTTGAAATATACATCATATGTCACACCTGCAAATTTCAAATAATACGCTACGTTGAGAACCGCGGCGTTGCCGCTTTCACGCATAATGAAGATTAAGTTAGTTAACGACAGCAGTTTGAAGGAGAATTATTATAAATTATATATCTTACAAGTACCTAATCGATTTCTACGAGTTGTCTTACGGTTCCTTCTAATCAAAATTTTGTCTCTAGAATTTTGACTATTATTATTATTACACTAGAATATTGGTATTATTTCGGATTATTGAATACCCTGTATCTACCTTGTGTTCCACAACCGCCGATTTCTCATTGTTGTTATCCTTTAGGTCACACTTCCTTTAACTTCATACTAATGTTTTTCCCTGTTTTACCAATGTACATATACTTTTTATTGCATTTACTTTAAATGCTATTAATGTAGTGTGTTAAAACTGTACTTTCTTATGTGGCTTATCTTGTCTGTACATCCTTGTTTGTAGAGTAGAAAGGTTGTTGCCAAATATTCCTACTATTTCTTGACCTTAAATATCCAACTGATTGAATATTATTGTTAATATAGGTATTCAATTCTTCTGAGCACTAATCATAAATGATATTGTTTCTGATTCTAAATATTCACAGAATACTTGGAATACTGAAGTGTTGATGATGCATTATTCCGTGCCGGGTGGTGATGAGACTCGGCGGCAAAGACACATTTGTGTGGATTGATTTACTGTAAATGTTGTGGCCTTTTAATTTAAAATATTGAGACCTCTTCTGGTTAAATGGGAAATGTTAGAAAAATTATTTGCTTACGAAATTTGTCTATTTTTTACATGTTTTACTCATGTACAATACAATGTTACTTACACTATTGTGAAAACCATCAGAGTGACCACATGGTTTGGATAACCGGAAGTAAGATTTTTTTTAATAAAATTCTATGAAAATGTTTATAATTATTACAAATGCTTACTTATTTTTTTTTTAATTTACATAGATAATTTGAAATGAGATTCAAATTTACATTTCCTAAGTTTTATTTCCTTATAATTTCAAAATTATTATAATTTCTTCTTGTTTGAATAAAATGCTATTTTGTTATGAATTGGATATTTTTTTATGTATACTTTTTCTGTGACACCTTTTTATTTTCTTGGTCTTTCAAAATAATTTGTGAGTAAGTAATTCCGATACCTTTCTTCTTTAATATAGAGGCACATAAAAAAGACCCTTAAACTATATATTTTAAAACAATTAATATTTTTAGTTAGCATAGATACACTAAACTAGTATGTGCATGGCTTTTGGTCTTTTACTATTTAGAACTATAGTGTTTACGGCAAAACAACATTTTTTAAATCAATTGGTTAAAAGTTATTTCGGTGGGTTTGGAATAGTTTCGCAGATTATCAAATTGGCCTACAAATTTTATGTTTTTAAACTATTAAGAATTATTTTCCAGTCCAGCTTTTTACTAAAAAATTTCAAAAAATACATCACTGCGGTAAGAACATAACCAAAATTATTATAACATTAATTATAACTTTTGTATTGAAGGAATTATTTTCTTCAGATCATATACAGGATGTCCCAGTTTTAATCCATCAGGCTTCGGAAACAGATAGAATAACCAAAGGTAATGAAGAACTTACTTCAAAATCTTAACGGTTTTCAAGATATAAGGTGTTAAAAGGTCCCCAAATAAATAATTTACTGAAAATATCCTATATAGGTACATATTTTATATGGTTAAGTAATCAAGAATAATTTTTAAAAAATAATCAAAAATGTTTGCACACATTTCATTTTAACTCATAATTTTACTTTATTTTAAAGATATTAAATTATTTCAAATAATGTCCTATGCCATGAATCTAGGTATGCAAAAATGCTTTTGTTTTTTTTATTCTTAATAAATGTTTCTTGTTAAATGAAGTTTAAGCTATTTTCCTTTTATTCAACTGTGTCATAGAATATTTAGGGAACTTTTTCTTTAAAATCCAAATGAAAATCGAATGAACTTATTGAATTTATAAAATAGTCAGTAGTGTCGAAATTCTGACGTTCTTAATGAGGGTGTCTCCCAGAATCTTCACTACTAGTTGTGCAGAGTCTTGATATTCCATAAAGTATTGACTTTATGGAACCTTTAACACCCTGTATCAAAAACTACTATCATTTTTTGTTCTATCCACAACAAAGTCTAATAGATTAAAATTGATACGCCCTATATATTCTCGTACAATTGCAGTAACGGTTGATGGTCAGTGAGAATGAAAGTACAAGTTTCAACTGAAATATTCAAAATATTGAATTAAAATATGGGTTACCGTTTCGAGATCTCTAAAAGGAGTGCACATATAGGGTGTGTTTCCTTAGGTAGTTTAAAATATTACAGAGGATGAATGAACATTATTTTAAGAAAATAAGTTCATATTGACATATGTCCAAAAACGTCTCCTTTCCAAAATACAAATTTGTCACTTTTAAAAGTGACGAAGATTTGTTTTTTCGTTTTTTTTTATCTTCATAATAGAACATTTTCTTTTTCTCAAACTTTGATTCTTTAGACATTAGCCGATTAGGGGGCATGATTTAGTACAAACTAAAGTTTAATCATGTCATCAGAAGCAGTGACATTTTTAATTCTGAATTTTTTAATCGTTTTTTTTTTGTAATCCTGATTCTTTAATAAAATAATAATAATTTAATAATTAAATAATACAATGATCAATAAATGAATAAAACAGTATTTTCTCCAGAACTAGGCTTCAATAAAAAAATGCTAAGAGACGTTTTATGTCTAAGAGCTCAGGAAATTAAAAATATGGTGGCGCACATATTTTTTTAAATAATTGCCTACACTCGCTCCTGTGGTTGTTGGGCATATGTTAATATGTTTTTATTTTCATAAAATGATTACCCTCTGAAATATTTTGTGTTGCATAGGACACACCCTGAATATTTGCAAAATATTTTTCATAATCGATTGATAAATGCAGTTATTTTCTTATTTTTCACAAAGTAGTAATTTTTCATAAACTAAAATGGAATGTTTGGTATTAAATTAAAATTTAAATAGGTGTAAATAACTATGAAGAAAATAAATATTTTATACACCTACATATGTGTATAACCCTTTTCAAGAACTTAGTAACACCCATACTTTAATCATTTTTTTGCAAATTTCATATGAAATTTTTTCATGATGTTCTTTAAGTAGATCTAAGAATTATTACCTAAAACAGTTCATTATCAAAATATGATCACTTTAATTATCTTCAGTTGCCACTATTCAACTGTATGGGGCATTGCAATATTCCACCAATGAAATTGTACATGTGACATGAATTTATAAAAACGCACATACAAATGTAGGTTTGCAAATGCTTCTTTTTAGAGATATAAAATGTTAAAATATTAATATTTTTTCAGTTACTCATTTATTTTAAATGTTTTATTGAACAATTAAGCTACCACATTTCTAAACATATCATTACAGTTTATTTAAAACTCACCAACAAATCTAAAAATATGACCATGTTTTAAGATAATTTTGATGAATACCTATCTAAATGATTAACAAAAAAAAATACAAGAAAAAAATTTAAATGATAAAACAGAGAAGTTGTTTTTTCTCAAAAGAAGAATCAGTGTCTTTCATCGCAACAAAAAATTGAATAGTATTTAATTTGTTCATAGCAGATAGTTATTTATAGGTATGTCTTTTTTCACAATTTTGGTCATTTTTTGCGGAATTTCATTGGTGCAATATCACAATAGTATGTGTTATACAACCTACCTACATCCAACAAAATAAGCCTTTTGTTTATTTTCTGTAATATGAGTGAATTTACACTACCTCATTTCTTTTATAAATTCTATTAAATACATTAAAATGGTAAAGTATTAAATACAGTTTAAACAAATTTGTTTCCATTAAGTATACTTATCATTTTTAACATAGTTATTCAAAACATCACTTACATGATGTCGTAGACCTGTATTATCCGTACACGTGAAGCAATTCTTAATAGTTATAAAACAAGCTTTAGCTATAGCTTTCGTTTACCTGAACACTTACTACAGTTGTAGCAGGTTCTACGAGCGAAGACAACTCCCAAATTTTCGTGATGAACAACTATTTTGGGATCGGGATTGATGCTGATCTGTGTCTGGATTTTCACAACGCTCGTGAAGAAAACCCTGGGAAGTTTATCAGCAGGTTGCATAATAAAAGCGTTTACGTTAAGATGGGATTAAGGAAAATGGTTGGACCGAAGATGTGCAAGGATCTTCACAAGGAAGTACGGTTGGAAGTTGACGGAAAGTTGGTTGAACTACCTCAAGTTGAAGGCATCATTATATTAAATATCTTAAGGTACTTATCTATGATAATGATTTTCATGAGTTTCTAGACTATATGACCATTTTTTTTATACGACATATTCAATGTGTTTGCATAAAAAAAGATGTATGTGTGTTTTCTTACTGAATATTATTCTGCAATGAGGATTAATGCTACATAAGCAATTTTATTAATATCACATTTACTTAAATTTTTATTTAATTTTTAACATATAACTATAAGTTTGATATTTGCATGAGTAGTCAAAGGTGTCACTAAGATATTTAAAAATAATTTAACTGTGTTAAATATGTAATAAACTTATCAGCATTATATTTTGTTACAAGTGAAAGATGGACCTTAACATGTATCTATCTCATTAAAATGGCTTTTGTAGTGGTCTTCCATAAATAATAAATATTTATGTTTATTTATTCTTCTGCGCAACGATGACATGTGATGATACAATTGATAGTATCGGAGTAGTAGTCACTTAGGTAGATAGTTCTGCAAAAATAATCAAAATTGTTTATTATCGACCACAATTATCGGAATATTACATACAATGAAAAAAATTAGGTCATATAATAAAAATACCCAGTATGGCAGCTGTTAGTGTCAATTTCGTTTATGCATGTCAATGTTAATATGTCTTACATTAATAGGAACTTAAGTCCAACAAAATCTTTTTACAAACACATTTTGTTATTGTTCTATCACAGTGCAAAGGGCCCCAAAGACTTCGTTCAATTTGCGCGATTTGCCGCACGGACCTCTACCGTCGTGCAAAATATGTTTCGATTAGATTTTCTAAACGAATGGATAGGAGAGTATGTACCTTAATTGTAATGTGTGTGCTGTTTGCTTCACTTAACATGTAAATTTTCCAATCGGTATGTGAAAAATAATGCGTATGAAGAATCAGTAAATGAACTAAAAGAAATGGACAAAAATGCATCAAGAGAAATGATTACAACAATTTCAAATATGTTATTGCATTAATTGGTTTAATAAATTTAAAGAAAATGTATTTCTTCTCAAAAACCTATTCTTATTGTACCATTTTGTACGATTTTTCAATTTTCTCTTTTGCTATTGTTACTGCCACCAATGCTAGTAGACACTTTCCAGATACCATTGTTCGTGCATTTAATATAACTAAACGGACTGTGCTCATAGTGTTGAGCAAAAAAAACCGTACATTCTTGGTTTGCATGATTTGGTCCGTATGGTTCTTTCGCACGAATGGAACAAAGTTTGTGGATATATGTACTAATTTGAGAAGCATAGCTCGAACAAGACCATTTAAAATATCTTTAGATGTGCGACCTCTATGAACGCTTAAGACACTAAAAATGCATTAAATGAACAGCAAGCTTTGGTCCACAATACAAACCGCTGACAGGTCCCGTTACCATGCTGTTTTATTTACACATGAAAGTGACAAACTTAAACTTTTATCCAACATCCTAGGTCATGTATACTCTTGAGAATTATGAGGTGTCCCAGAGTTATAATTTATTATTAGAGATTAAGTATCGGGGCTTTAAAAATGCAGAAACCACCAAATTTTCACTTTCATATTTGATGGTTAAATAATGATTTTGTACAAAAATAAAAAGTATGTATTAAGTTTTTCCCAAATTATTTAATTTCATGGTTTTATGGCAGTGTCTGAAACGATAGTAAATACCTCATTATGCAATTGTTTTGTAGTTTTTTTTATTATATTATTAAATTTGATCAATTTCTAGCTGGGGTTCAGGAGCGAATCCCTGGGGCCCCGAAAAGGACGATCAGTTTTCAAAACCCAACCACTGGGATGGAATGTTGGAGGTTGTAGGTGTTACAGGTGTGGTACATTTGGGGCAAATCCAGTCCGGTTTACGAACTGCGATGAGGATTGCTCAGGTATGTGGTAACTGAAATTTTTAAACATAAAAGATTGCACAACACATTCACTGCTTAAGGAAAACTAGACAAGTTTCTAACACTGCATATTAAAAACTTACCTACTTATTGTTTTCTATTGTTGTGAAAAATTGCAAATATTGAAATATTTGGCAAAAAAATTGAAATCAAATTGGAAAAGGAATGTATGACACAAAAGTTACATCATAAGTATTCCACTTAGTTTTTCTTTGTAAAATTCTCACTGACATATATGTTATGTTCTTGAAACTAACAATAAGATACTCTTTATTAACATAGAAAAAAATGTATAAATAAATAACTGTTTACAAGTGACTTAACTTACTTCTCTGCAAAAAGTGTTTAAAATACAGTACAAATAATAGAAAGAGCCTTGACAATAATAAATATTAATGATCAATTACGAGGGTTGCCTTTTACATTTCTGGAATATAGTACAAATAATAGAAAGAGCCTTGGCAATAATAAATATTAATTATCAAATAAAAGGGTTGCCTTTTATATTTCGGGAATTAATCATCGTATATGGCTTTATTATTTTTCAAAATATTCTCCATGAAGACTTGTATGCATCTGAATCAATTTTGTCCATTTTTTTTTTGAAAAAACAGGTGACCATTTGCTTAGAAACGTTTTGTGCGCGAACAACTTTTGTTGGATTTGGTTCATCTTGAAAGATCCATACAGTCGACTGCTGTTTACTTTCGGGCTCATAAGCATATATCCATGATTTGTCACCTGTTACGACGTTATAGACGTGTTTTGAAGCAACATTATCATATTTGTTTATTTATTGATCATATCTTTCGACTAATTGACACAAGCCTTTTTTTGAACATTTATTGGGAAACAAATTTTTTTGACAGCCAAATGTTCATGCAATATTGAATATTGAATATACTGCAATGTCCCGCAATCACGCAATGTCACATGACCATCTTGCAATATTAGTTCACTCACAGCATCAATGTTTCCTGGAACAACCGGTTTTGGACAACCTTCATGAAATTTGTCAGTGCCAAAAGTTTACTATCGGAGTTGCACCCCTTTAATGGGGTAGGTTAAATTTTATATTTTATTTCTTGCAGTTACTTTATCTTATCAAAAGCCACACTGATATTTTTAATAATCTGCGACCCTCGAACGGGGTCAAAAATTGTCCTTAATGATTTTTCATTGTATCTTTTGTAATAAAAAAAAAAAACGATTAAGAATCTTAGTTTGCTTAGAAACTCTATAAATTTTTGTGAAGGAATTGTTTCTTAAAGATTTTGCAAGACACTCTGTATATATGTCAACTTAGAAATAGAGACAATTACAACTGAAGATCTGCTTTAAATGTTTGCTTCACAAAAATGCAAATTTTTATTGATTACCACCTTATTGCTACACACTTAATCCGATTTTTTTTACAGGGTGGACACATTAAAATCCACCTCAATTCAGACATTCCCGTTCAAGTGGATGGTGAACCATGGGTACAAAGTCCTTGTGATGTAGTAGTTTTAAAATCGGCTTTAAAGGTAAGATGTCGCATTTATTTTTCATATCACGCAGTAGATCTAGTTCAGTAATAAAGTCGTGTCTAGTGAATAGCCATAATGTTAATAGCAATTGAGGGGTATAGTGTACGCATACATACTTTGTTTCTTGTTTTGATAGATTATTATTAATTTTCCAATCCTTAAATATACAAAAATTTTAATTGTGGAATTTATTATTTTTTCACTGCTTATCGTCAACTCTTTATTTTTTTTACATATTATAAATAATAAATTAATAGATTTGAACTTTGAACTTTCTCATTTTTATTGTAGACACCCCTTAATTTTTGTATACTTAGATAGCCTATCTCTTTTAAAAGTAATTTTACTCAAGTTTACTTTAGTCTTTAGCTTAATTTTTGTAGTAGTTGATTATTATATTATTAATTACAAATATTTATATATAGCACCTTTTTATATTTATACTATTGTTATTCATCTTGAAAACAAACTTATACACTTGTGGAAGCTTTTAAGATACGTGCATGTAATGCGCTGTTGCATATTTCCACCCTCCCCAAAAGTTGTAAAAACAAATACTAGCTTTGTACAAAAATGCAACACAACAAACACATTTAAATGTCAATATTACAAAATATTTGTATACAACATAGCCAGAAGGAAATATTTTTTTTTAGTTCTATTTTTCTCTGTATGTATAAATTTATATACATAATGTAAGTCTAATTAATTATTTTCTTAAATTAAAAATAGTTTCTTTATTTTATATTTATTTTTAATATTCAGCAATCTTCGAATATAAAAAATTTTAATACAGTGCGAGAGTTAAATGTTACCAACCTCACAAAGAAAAAAATACTTGAATATCTCAATTTTTGACTTGATCAACTTTAATGTAAACATTTCATCCCCAATGTTGAAATAGCTTTCAAGTAAAGTGTATCTTCAATAATTAATAAATCGATGTTGTGGCTGTATAGAGGGTGTTCAAAAAAGCAAATTAAACCATTAACCTAGACTTTTTAGATAACAATAATGGGACTTTCCGTATACCATACTTGATTTAGGCTTTTTTAGAAAACAGGGTGTCAAAATTACCAATTAAAAACAGTTATTATTAATATCTCCATTATATTTTATTGCTGAAATTTTACAAAGACTTCCATCCTTTCCCAGTACTTATATTCGTTAGTAATGAAACGCAAATGGAGAAAAATAGATTGTAGTGTCTGAATGTCTCCCTGAATGAATTTACTGCGGTCGAGCTTGGTCAACTTACGCATTTTATTCCTGGAGCCTTCATGATCTTGAGGAATTCTGGCTTCTTTCTTCGCTGTATTGGCCTTTCTGAAATGGAACTTTCAATCAATGAATTCTTTCTAAGCAGAGGTGCAGTGAAAACTGTGCTGCCCCATGAATAATCTTTAGTCTTCTGCGAATTCTTTCTTAGAGATATTTGTTGTGGGGGGGGGGGGGGGTCCACAACAAGATATCTCTGATGTAGCAATTTCTTGGTGCGTGTCGTGGTTGAAGTCTCCGTCTTCGGCAAGCCGTAAAAATCTCCTCCAGAGCCGCCCCAATACCCTTGGCAGGAAAAATTATCGGATGAAGCAGGGTTATGTGAGACTATCACTCTATACCCACGCCATCTCTGTAGGTCAGTACGCCTCGTAGAGGCAAGCCCTTTCTTCCTCATCTCGGACTACTGTTCAGTGGTTCATGGGACCTTCTCCTGTCCTGGCTCCTTCCAAAGCCGAATTACCCAAAATTGGCGAAATGGCAAATGAATTCTCGGTTGCCTAAGTCAGGGTCAATGTTAGTAGTACTCAAATGTTCTGCTTTAATAGATATAGCATTTATTTTATTTTTGTTACTTGTAAAATTTTGATTTATTAAATATTAAAGAACAAATTAAGCTTTGCAAAAATATTTCGATACCAATTTTTCAACTTTGCAATTAAGATTTTTTTTAAAGAAAATTAATTTGCTTGTAAAAATATGTATGTGGTTTCATCTTGACATGTGTGAGAACGAATGACATTACGGCTACACCAAAAACATAATTTCCAACATATTCGCTTCTCTCTCATTAAAACAGTCTTCACGAAAGTGGTAGTGGTTTTATTACGAATGCAATGAAATCTTAGAGTCCAGGGACAAAGCCCACATATTCAGTTTAAGTTGACATAAATAACTGTCATTTAAATGTCACTTTTTAAAAATAATATTTTCGAGTGTGTAGGTATGTAAATTTTGCGTGTTTTATTGGCAACTCGCGTGCGATAAGTAATATTACCACACGCAGATAAATAGAGTGGGCAAACAGCTAGTTACCGACCTAAAAAACATGCGAAAAGATAGGACTAAGTAATAAAAATTCCATTATTTTACCTATCTATGGCTAATGGCTTGACATACTTTTTTTGTTACATATTAGGGGATGCTGACATTAGGGATGAAATGTTTTCATTAATTCCATTTTAATAGAACTATATTAACTTGATTTTTCTTAATTCTTAATTAAAGAAAATAAAAAATCAGTTAGCTAGAAATACCTAATCCCAATAGTTGAAAATACATGATTTTAATAAATTAAATATTTCTTTTAATAGGCAGTATGAATAATTAATCAATTTTCGATAACACATCATAGACCCTCTAGGAATACAACAAATTTTTCGTATTGTATTTTTCCAACATCGTTACATTTAAAGTTTAATATTCATGATAGTGTCTTTAGAACCCTCTACACCTTCACTGCTTTATTGACATTGCACTTTACAATATTTTGACAACTCTCCCTAGATCAATATACATGTATATATAAAAAAACAGATTTTTGGAATTTTTATGTTTTTTAATTGGTTCAATTTTTTTATTTTTATATACCACTCTTACATCCGATGTGAAATAAATTATCTAACTGAATTATATTTTAATATCATCTTATACATTGTACCAAATATTACGTTAGTACACATGATATAAGTATTAACTGATCACTTGTTCTTGAATATTACCAAATCTTAGTTAAATATCAAACAGCAATTATCAAAAATTTTCACAAAAATACTTTGAATTTGGACATGTAATTTTGATTTATCTGTCATAGAATGCATTACATATTTTTTGTAATTCAATTTAATATTCGAATAAAATTATCTAATAGATCTGTAGTGTAACTATTTAAATTACTATTTCATAATGTTGCTAAAACTAAATACAATTTATAATAGTTCTAATAGAGGATATATATACATACAGGGTTCCCACTGAAAGGGTCGCCCCCGTAACTTCTTTGTTTTTGACTTGAACAAGTGACTTGAAAAAGATTTTGTGTAAAAGTTATATGGTCCCTTCAGAGCTTCAGGGTTAAAAAAAAAACAGTTTATTCTCGCATTCAGGTTGTTAATTCTTTGTAATTCTTTTAGTTTGTGGTCGATATCATTTTTTTAAATTCAATTGATTAAGCAATTTATGCATTTACACAGTATACTGTAACTTTAGTTTTAAACGCATATTATTAATTGTACATTATTTTTTCCATTTAACGTACAAACCGCAATAAAATACATACAAACTCGAGTACCTATCATTTCTAATGTAGTGAACCTTTCATTCAGTAGGAGGACATTACAGACTTAAGATATCTGAATTGTCTAACACACATATTTGAGTTTAACTGTTTGCTTTTATTACAGTTTAATATCAATTTAATAGCAACTATTTAACAAGAACAGGTTGGAACGACTAATAGTTTTATAATCAGTACATTTACAGACTTCAAAAATATGAAGGAATATAGCCTGCTCCATTAAAAAAAATATAATCTATACCTAGAAGCCAGATAGGTCATATTCAACTGTTTTTTCCTATACAAAGAAATTCAAGTCACCTTCCACCTGTTGCTTTTGTATCAGAAAAATATTAGTGTTAGGAAATTTACTTGAGCAATTGAATGTTAAATTTTCGGAGACATAAATCAAAACATTTTTACTTATCCTGATAGAAAACTTTTTTTGATTAATTGATAAAAATTGAAGACATCCATCTCTAGAATAAGAGATATCTAGCCACCAGAATCTTGGTTACTTAGCAACTAATAATAATTTCTAAAATATTGTATAGTTATGCACATTCTTTGAGCCATATATTCCTAATTACTGAAGGGTGTTCTATTTATGAAAACGCAAGATTGGTTTACATTTTCGAAGAGAAACAATCAAATGATTTTTTAAATATTCCACTGAAATCGGAAGGAAATTTTCTAAGACTGGTTTATACGATCTTTTCCACGTATAAACGTAAACGAGATATTAAAGGGATTGAGAATGATATCATACATATACTATAATTTTTCTTCAAAATATGAAATTCAAAATTTTAGAATCTAAAAAAAAATTCGTCGTCTTATTAGGAATGACCTCTTACATGATTACTAAACATGCATGATTACTAAACAATTAAAATATGAAGAATGGCTTTCGAATACCACAACATATTCAAGTACAAATGCATGCAACCTGCATTACAAAAAGAAAAGTAACAAAGCCCAGTATCTCTTTAGAGATGAAGTTAATAAAAATAGATGTCAAGATATTTTCTAACGGATGTTATTAAAATTTGTATAACATTGTGTTTGTAGATTTGGCCGTCATATCCCACATTGTTCAATAAAAATGTACAATAATTTATGTTAATAGGTAGTTGAATATGTAAATAGTTTTTTAATCTCTAAAGATTTATATGTATGGCTTTGCTTTATAATTACATGCACACATAAATCAATTGTATACACTTTTATTTGTTGTTTCACAAACATTCTCCACATTTATGGATATCCTAAATTCGAACAAAACAACCTACATAACGGTTTTAATGTAATACTACTGACAATTACTTGTGTACACACTAATTACAGTATTAATTACTTATACAGGCGACCATGCTGAAGAAAAATAAGTTCAAGCGTCGGCCTACAGAACCGAATATACTACCCGCCAATGGGGAGGGGGGCAAGAGCACAGATGACTAATTTAAACCTGTTCCATAAAACACACCATATTTTTCATAAATCTTATATATTTTTTGTAAGGTTCCTGTCATTTATCTTTTATCTCTTACCATTAGCATGAATATTTTGCTTGTTCGTCATGTAACTGTAAATTGCTTTATTATTTTGTTTGAGTAGATATTACAGTAAGTTGTTTCGCAGTTTTATATTTATTAAGTGTATGTATGTGTGCGCCCCTCCCCAGGCTACCATGTTGAAGAAGATGAAGGGTAAAATGAAGAGGCGCAACACTGAACCAACTATGCTAGTTTCTCCTGGTGCACAACTAGCTCCTTTACCTTCCAATGATGGCGAATCACCGACGGACCCCAATAACACAACTTTTTAATTATAATTCGCTAGTGAATTCCTTTCAGTTTAGTGTTTTCTTAGACATTATACCCAAAGGGCATGGGTTGTTTTCTTTCTTGCATTTAAGAATCATATTACATAAAATATGTATTTAAAAACAGTAAACTGTAATAATTATTACGTTATGGTATGGTATATTTACCAAAGTATTGGTGAAAAAATTATAGATTTTGTGGCTAAATGCCCGTTGAGTTTATTTAATTTTAAATAGTTTATTTAAGTACAAGTAATGTACTTTAGATATGTTGTAGTTTTTAAAGTTTATTTACCAAAAAGAAAAAATATCAAGAGATATATAAAGTACTGTGCTGCCAAAATACACAAGTACTACCATCTGGTCATGAACACCATTTGGTGAGAAATACCAATGTATTCAATCACAATAAATGAAGACCATAAAGAAGAAAGGAGTAACATCATCCTCCTAATCTGAAGTGACTCCGATCAGCTACGTTTCTGGAAAGCAGCTTTCAGCTATGGAAAATGTTCATCCAAAGAGACGTTTAACAGTGAGTCATATCGTGTGAAAGAATAAAATATTTGAACTACCAATTTGTGTAGAAGGTGTGATTCAGTCGTGATAGGCTTTGCGAGTAGGCTAACTGTGAGATGTGTTCCAGAACATGTTGATCGCCAGTAGGCTATATGCAATTCTAGTCACCTTTTCCCTGAAGAAGGAAGCCACAAAAAGTGGCAGGTGTGTTGGTGTCCTATTCATGTTATTACGTTGTTTTCAATAATACTTTACAGGGTAACCAATCGCAATATCACTTCTTAATCTTATGTATGTATAAATATAACCATGGTTGCAATTGGTTACCCATCACAAAGTTTTACTGGAGATATCCAATGTATTGAATAGGTGTTATGTAGGTAGCGTTTGGTCTTGCTATCCAGGAAGTGATGCTGAACGCTGTCGTTAATCTGCCTCGGTGCAAGGGGCTCAGTTCTTCACGGATGCTGCCTGGAGCCTAGTTCGTGAAGAAAGCACTGTGGGCAGATTTACGCAACGATGTGACCCTTAATTTAGCTATTATCTTACTTAAATCGATGTGCTATATTGTTTGTAATTATATTTCCAATTATGTATTTTAGATGAAATCGCCAGAACGTTTGTCTATTTCATCAACCGAAAAACTTCAGTAACTAATTAATATGAAACGTTCTCTGTGGTTATCAAGATCTGTTTTTTGATGGCTACCTAGAACCACAAATTTTATAAGACACTGAGGTTTTTCTTTTACATATAAGATATGAAATATATGTATATGTGATTAAATAGATATATTAAAATTGTGAAATATAGAAATATTAAATGTATTTGTGTATTTAATTTTTCCATCGACACACTTTCTTTACTCAAAAGATCAAGCAGATCTGAGATTTTTTTTGATATCAGAAAAGTAAACAATCTTTTCTTTAGGGTTTCAGATTTAAAAAAAAAAATTGTCTACATTCTTCTTACTTAAGAAGCACTGAATATTTTAAAATAATATATTAGAATGCTTTCCGCAAAATTGCAGTGAAATTCGCTTTGGTATATATGTCGTCATTACTGCAAGAAATATATCTGTAATGTGGCATAATAATTAAAAAAATATTATTTGTTGGATAGGGTGAAAATGTTATGTTTGTCCGTGACTCCTTTATCTCTGAAACTATGAGAAAAATAAAAAATCCTTTATTAATAACTTTTTTATGTACAAAATTTTTTTTATAGAACAACCTGTATATTTTTACTTTCTTAGGATTACAATGATCTACATATATCTAATAGTACCAAAATATCATCAAAAGAATGCTACAAAATTGAATGTGTTAAAAATTTTATAAAAACCCACGCCTATATTGAAATAAATTCAATTTTTTTCTAAAAATTCTTTCGAATAAAGCCAAACAATACCAAAAATCTAGGTGTATAAAAGGCATCTAAGCTCAGACAAAATTCTTAACTTAGGATTTTATAAAAATATATATATACTAAAACTCTTAAATAACGTAATTTTTCAAATATGTTGTATTGACCAGTGGTGGCTGGTGCGGGGGAATTCCAAACCAAACACAATAGTTTAAAACATACAGACAAAATTAAAAGAGGGAAAAACAAAAATTTTTTATTAAATTTTTTAGTTCTTATTTGCTTAGCTTTTCCTATTGATAAAAAAGAATTTTTGCAAAAAGCATGTCAAAAATGACAATCGTTTTTGGTAACTGTTATAATAATTTATGTACCTAAACGGCAAGGAAAAATAATAAATTTTTTTGCTCGTAAACCATTAAGTATACGAAAAAATGGAAGAGTAAAAAAAGTTTCAAAATGAAATGTAGTATTAAAAGCTATTTTTTTGTTGGAATTGGCTAACGTAGAAAAAAGTTGTAAGAGAAATAAAACCAAAGGGGTGCTAATTTACTTCATTCAAAGACAAACCAGAAAAAAAAAAAGACTACCAAAAAATACCATTCAACTAGTTGTTAACGTGTACCAAAATTCAAATTTCTAAGTTTAACCGTTTTCGTGAAAAAAAAAAATAAAAGCCAATTCCTTCGGCCATTTTGAGATTTGAATATTTTCTCAAGGGGGGCTCAAATAAAAAAAATATATAGGAAGTACCCCCCTAAAATTACTTTCTAAACACCTCTTTAAAATATTTGCACATCATTATGAAATACCCTGTACATAATACTGAGCCCTAGGGTACACCATGTGTGACGGGTATATATTCACTATAGGTACCCGATGTAAAAACAATAGGTTTCCATCAGCCTCAAGGTGACTCCATGTATACCGTAATAACGTACTCCAGTTTAGCAGGTAAAAGTTTGTGATTTAAAAAAGCTTTGGTTAAGTCACATAATGTAAGACCATTTTCTATGTTATCTATTATCGAATTTACTATAGCCATATCACTGCTTGGATTGTTGACTTGTTAGATTGAAATCCTAATAGATTGTTGTTTATTATTGAATGAGTGTTTAAAAAAGAGGTTAATATCGGTGCTTAATCAGAATCTCAAATATTTTGCTAAAAGTAGTTAGTATACAATGTTATCTAGATAATTGAATAGATTAGCCTTATGAGACACATTAAAAAGGAAATATTAAACTTGTATAGTGCAGTCAATTTAACTTTACTTGCAAAATTCATTAAAAAAAATACTGAATGCATGGATTCCCCGTAACTCGCCCCTAAATCTGTAGTGTTTACAGCGGTGGTCATGGTTATCGTCGCACAGCAGTGAGAGACAGTGGGAGTACATATTTACTATGTGCAATTTCAGCTCTGTTTAGTCTGCCTGTAACCAAATAATAACTATCACTGCTTTCTTTTTTTCTTATTAATTGAAATTTATTTACGCATGGTGTAAAATTTTGTTATCTACATGTTGTTTTTTTAAAAAATTGTAAAAGTTTAAATTAGATTGTAAAGACATACTAACAGTACCTACTTGCAATACCTAACCTTAATGAATAATTAATCGAAGAGTTTATTTCAGAGAAAAGCAGAAGAATGGACTATCACTATAAAAAATACTGTTGAGCACATTTTCCCTACATTTTAACAGTACCTACTTAAAATAAAACTACCCAATTATATTTGATTTTTTTTTCAATACTTTGTAGTATTGTATGTATTTTTCTGCCCTCCTTAGTATGGAAGTCAAGAGCTGCCACAGCTTTTGACAAAGATTAACACAGAAAGAGCCATGATAGAAAGATTCTATTTTTACATTTTATTTAAATTAGGATTTGTGTTAAGTTGGCGGTAATCAGGGGTTATTCGGCAGGAGAATTTTTGAAAGGTAGGTGAAATTTGCCGATCTTTGCGCGGTCGGACGGGTGGAGTACTCGGTCGCACGGGTGGCAGCATCGTTGTAGGTATAGTTGTTACGATCTCAATTGGAGCAGCATAAAAAGATTTAACTCATAAATTCTACGGAATCCATAGATGTCCAGAAAAATTTTGCCCTGTCTCATCTAGATATACTATATTCCGAGCTATATTACCATATAATTACCATACGACTTTTTACGTGTATATGTTTGTTTTTAAATTCTGAGTTTGGTTTGATACTTTCAACCTTTCTGCACTGCACTGGCAAAGCTAAATGAACCTGTGTACTATACAAAAAAATGGTTTATGACCTAGTGGACCAATACAGGTTTGTTTTGATGACCAGCACGTTGCCGTCAATTCTACATCAGGCAGACTAGTTTACCAATACCGGACTCGCCGAATTGCTATTCGAGTATAAATTACGAGACACATCATGGTGAAAGCATAGAAAGAAACTTCAGGAGAAGTGCATACGGTCCTGTGCTTTAAGATTTACAGATTCCAATTGACATCGTAACAACTATACGTCTGAGGCAATTTCGGCGGCAATCGCGACGTCTGTGGATCCTAGGCAGGCAGGAAATTTTAGAAAGATTGGTGAATCACGTTTTCGAGCTCTGCGTCTTCGAAGAGGTACAGTAGGTCATCGGTTGTAGTTCGTCTATGATTAGATACTACTTCACGCGAACGGTGTCTTGTGTGATGCGTTCTCAACGTGTGAATGAGACATTGTTGAAAACTAAGTTTGCTAGTGGTCTTTATTTAGCAGGAACTGCATTATGTCGTGTGAATTTCTATTTTTTTGGTGGAAGCTGCACCTTGTGGGTTGGATTTATTCATGTTGGTGGGAACTGCAGCACGGGGGCTCCTCTTGAAAGACCGTTGTAGGTATTTGAAACATGGGTGAATTGCTCCTGCAATATCAGTTACGAATCTTGTCTGTAAAATTAGATATCTTTTGCATTCCCAGATTTTTGATAACGAAGAATATTATTTGACAGCATTTGAAGAGTTTTGAATTTATTTACGAATGAATAATTTTTTGAAAAGTTTCATCAATGAAACACCCTGTGTGAGGAAGCACATTATATCGAAGTATAAGTGTTTTAGATTCAATTTTCACATTTTGGACCTGTTAGACAATTATTAATGAAACACCCTATATATAGAAAATGATTAGGCAATCGTGTAGATAAGCCAGAGAAAAGTCAGAAGCAAGGAAAATTTATTTTCAAAATTTGTAGACACTAGTTTTCTAGGGGAAACGTAAATAAAAAATGGGTTATATTAAAAACATTTTAATAAAAACAGTACACAATAAATACAAAGTTAAAATTACAAATAAAAAACTTTTAATATATTACTCTGTAATATTGCAACAAATATTAATAATAAATGCATATTACTCTTTAAAAAGCAGTCTACAAGTAACATTAAATAAAACATTAAAAAATGTTTGGCACAAAATAAATAATAACTGTAGTGGAAGACCTAGAAATACACTTGGAATAGGTAGTTTTTCAAAAATAAATAAGGGGATAATAAAGCTTTACACTAGTGACATTTTGATTTAAAATTAATAAGTTGGTGACGTTCTATAAAAAATAAATGTTTTGAATAATATTAAGTAATCACAATTTCATAGAAAATTCAATTTCGTTGTTATCACTAATATAAGTGTGAATATATAAATTGAAAAATTTTAATTTAGCACCAAAAATTATAGGCACAAATACTGATTAAACTTGAAAAATACCGTCTTCATCTAAAAGATTAGACGAGTTTGTTGGTCCTAAGAAATGTCCAGAGCTTCCAGAAGAGTGTTCGTTTGGGGCACTCTTGTTTATAATTTTTTCGTATCCAGGTATCTCTGAATCCGTATCGTTATTTAAGAGCTCATAAGGGGGATCAGATTTGTCTGAAAGTGACTTTCCAGCACTGTTGGAACTCTCTGAAGTGTCAGTTGTTGTTTCGCATCCTACATAAATAACATTTAAAAAATTGTAGGTAATTACCTAATTATACACAGAACAATTATGTATAGTACGTTTAATATAGATCAAATAAACAAGTGTTCATCAGGGGACCCACATTTAATCATTTTTGAGAAAAGCTGATAAAAAAAATACAGTAAAAGCTAAAACTATTCGCTCCTAGGCATAGTAATGAATTACTTTGTCAAAACATCACCTTATGCAAAAATATGTAGATATGTTTTAGAGGCGTAACTTTTCATCAGGGAATTGCCCCTTACATTTTTTCGGTGTTATTTAGATACACCCTGTATATATGTCAGAGCTGCTGGTGTTGAACGGATATTTTATAAATTTTATTTATTATACTTGTTAATGTTGTGACTGTCGCTTAAGAGATTGGCTTGCAAGTGGCCGATTGTGAGTTTAATGTTAGCGGGATATTGAGAATAAAATAATAGTAGTGAACAGAGAGATTTGAACTAGAAAGCACTGGCTTCAGATCGCTAATCCTTTTATTTTGAGTTCTTTTGTTTTAATTTTGATTTTGGTATACGAGGCATATCCACAAGGCAAGCTTACTCAATTTTTTAAAAGTGGGCTCACAGTGAGTGTCCTTTTAGATTATTTCAGAACATACTTCGATAATTTTGCTCCTGTAACACTTCCGGTTATACCTAAAGTTGACGTTAACTTTGTTATTTTAAATGGGACACCCTATATATTGTTGCATTTTTGGATTCTACGTGGAATTTGAAGGTCAGTTTATTAAGTATTCCCTATACCTAGGAGTTATAGAAATTGAGGTATTAACTGTTAAAGAAAAAATTTGACAGATGCAAGGGTCCGCAGAGATGCTAGTAACTCTTTTCAGGAGTGTGACAACAAGTGGACTTTTGGTATCTGTAAAGGGCATAGGTAACACTAAATTATGTATACCAAATTAAAACATTTAATACTAGGTGTTTCATTTTTGCTGTTACATTTTGATAACTTCTAACAGCTATAACTTTGTTAACTTAAATGGGACACCCCGTATTTTTTTATTTTGTCGAATTCATATTGAAATTAGGGTTATCGTTACTACTTATATATATATATATATTTGCAATTTTCTGTTTTTTGGACATTTTTCTCGTATCAGACCTGTTGTCACATTGGCCATGATCGGAGATACTCCAAAAACAATTGAAATAACTTGACATTTCTCTAGTTGTCAAATTATTGTTGTCTGAATAGTTTTTGACAAAAATTTAAATAAAAACGTTGGGGATCGTTTAAATTATACTAATAAGGATTATTTTAATTTGTTTGTTATTTTTATTTAAATTTTCGGCAAAAACTATTCAGACATAACAATAATTTGACAAATGTCAAGTTATTTCAATTGTTTTTGGAATATCTCTGATCATGGCCAATTTGACAACAGGTCTGATATGTACGAGAAAAAAGGCAAGTTCAGTATTGATATCTAGATATATATCTTTGTCTTTTTATCTCATACAATTAGAAAAGAACAAAACACATAGATGTTAATACTGAACTTGTCTAAACTGTCCAAAAAATAGAAAATTGCAGATATCTCTAAAACTAGTAACAACTACCCTAACAATGCTTATATGACTTGAAAGGAAATTTCAATCTGCACACGACAGAGTAAAATATACAGGGTGTACCATTTAAGTTAACAAAGTTATAGTTGTTTGAAGTTATCAAAATGTAACAGCAAAAATGAAACACCTAGTATTAAATGCTTTTATTTCTTGGCATACCACGATTTAGTGTTACCTATGCCCTCTACAAGTACCAAAAATCCACTTGATATCACGCTCCTGAAAAGAGTTACTAGCATCTCCGCAAAGCCTTGCACCTGTCAAATTTTTTCTTCAATTTTTTCAATTTGTCAAACTTCCGGTATAACCGGAAGTGTTACAGGAACAAAATTATTATATTTGAAAAGAGCACACCTAAAAACCTTGGTGTGCCAATTTTTAAAATTAAATCAAAGATCAAAGTAGAGATGGGCAATGGGAAATTTTCCGTCCCGGAAAGTTTCCAAAACGGGAAGAAATAATCGAAGCTTGAGAAATTTTCCCTGGAAAGTTTCTGAAAAAATTTACGTCGGAAATTTTCCGGGAATATTTCTAACAATTTGTAAACTTGGAGCCAATTTTACTTCTAACTTCTATGAACATACACAAAAAATCGTTGGTTGATTTCGGATTTTCGGTTAATTCGGAATACCAGAAGACCATATTATCCAAATAAGTTAGAAAACACTTACACTTACTTATTTTAATCTTTGTTAAGTCTACAATCTACATAATAGAAAGCAATACAAGACTCATAAATTGCCTCTCCCTTTTCAAATTTAATATGAATTTTGATAGTTGAACCAAATTACAATTACATTTTAAAACTAGTATAATTATTTAATGTATTTACTATTTCTTTGTTAAAAAATAAAGATAAATATTGTATACTGTGTAGTGTTTACGCACTGTAACCCTCAGCATGTAATTTTTTCTAACGGATGATTAATACATAATTTATATTTTTCCAATATTTATACCAATATAAATAAAAATGTATATAAGTATTTGGTCTCTTTGGGAAGCTGATGGTATGTAGAACACAATACCAAATCCAAAAAAAATTTTTTGAAATTTTCGGAAAATTTCCGGAATTTTCAATGGAAACTTCCCAGGAATTTTCATAGTTTGGGAATTTTCCCATCTCTAAATCAAAGTAAGTCCTGATTTAGTCTAATAGGACACTCACTGTGAACCACCCGGTCTTTATGAAAATTTACATATTCTGAAAAGTACATCAAACATTATTTTTCGACGTAGTCATCAACCTCAATGCATTCACTCTGTGAGCCGAGGGATGAGCTTTCTGATACCTTCATTAAAAAAATCTCCCGCCACCTCTCGGACCCATTGTTTCACGGCACTGTAGATATCATCATCAGTAGAAAACCTTTTTCTACCCACGAACATCTTCAGAGAAGAGAAAAGATAAAAATCAAAAGGTGTCAGAGGTCGGTGCTCTGAGCTGAGTGGTTGATGATGTTCCAACCGAATGAATCCAAGAATTGCTATGTGGCATTGGCTTTGTGGGGGTCTGCATTGTCATGCAACAAGCACACTCCCTTCGTTAACAATCCCCTTCTTTTGTTATGTAAGGCCCCCTTAGTGTTTTAAGGGTTTCACAGTACCCCGCAGCATTGTTTCCCCGTGAGGCAAAAAGTCAATGAGAAGTATCCCTTTATGGTACTAAAACACAGTTGCCATGATTTTTCGGGCAGAAACAACGGTTTTCAATTTTTTCACTGATGGTGAAGATGGATGTTGCCACTGAAATGATTGTTTTGTCGCCAGTCAAGATACAATCAAGGAATTGCTCACCTTCCAGTTCAAAGTACTTGATAAATTCCTGTGAAGATGCGACTCTGTTGGCTTTGTGTTTATTGGTGAGCTGTTTTGGTACCCATCTCGCACACAATTTTCAACAACCAAGTGTTTCAGTAACTGTTTCATGCAGAAGAGATCTGGACATTTGTGGAAACACTGCATTCACCTCATACAAAGTCAATTGACAGTCACCACAAAGCATTTCTTCGATCTTATTCAGCATTTCATCAGTGACGATGGAGGGACACCCACTCCTTTGTTCATCATGAACAATTGTTCTGCCAGGTTTATAATCACAACATCACATGCACGTTTGGATGATTCATCACACCATCCCCATAACTAATTTTGATTTTATAAAAAATCTGGAACAGTGCCTTTCCCTTTGCAAGAAAAAACCGAATTACGCTTTTTGCAAAGATTGGGAATAGCGACACTCATTTCAACATGCCACTACAACAGTTCTCAAGTGACTGAGGCAAATGAGTGCATGTTCTGCTTTGAACACCTTGGCCTTGATTGCAGTGTTGCCAACTGTGTCGAAAACAAAACCACAGAGCATCAAAGTCTCAGTACTCTTTACTTTGTGGATATGCCTCGTATTATAAAAAAATTATACAAAAAAAATATGTTCCATACACAAAGAAAATTTTTGTAAATTTAAAACTTACCTTTCTTCTTTATTTTTTCATAGCCTGACAGATCAGAATTAGTTCTACTCGAATCCTCATCCAGCCTTTCATAAGGAGGCTCTTCCAAGTCCTTAACACTCTCATAATTGGGATCGTTTTGATTAACAGACTCGTAATTTGGATCGGATTCACTACCGTTTGATTTGACCGCTGCGTAGCCTGGCTCAGAAGCGATTTCACTAGGCATGCTTTCATAATTAGGTTCGTCTAATGTATCGTCACTACTGAGCACAGTCAAAGGCACTGTATTTTTCCTCTGCTTGTTCACCACTGAGTATCCGTCGTTACTAACGGTTTCCTTTATTCTGGAATAACCCGCAAGATCACTGGCGTTTGAGATTCGATGGCGCAACTGCTCATAATTCGGATCTAGTTCAGAACACTGTTCGTCATTCAAAACTTCGTATCCAGGATCGGAACTGGTAATACTTTCTGGACCATTTATACTGGCGTATCCAGGTTCGTCACTGTTCCTAATTTTCTCGTACCCCGGATCGCTCAATTTTCTAAGCGATTTCTTCAGCGTCTCATAGTTGTGGTCCTTTAGTCTCTTTTCTACCACATTAGCGTCCAATACTACAGGCAAGGAGTTTCTGTTTTCACTAGAATCACTAATGTCACCAGTTTTCTCATTGTGTAGTTCTTCTTTTTTGTTTTTGTGCACTTTTGCGTATAAGTCGTCCAAGTTCCTGATTACTTGGAGCTTGTCGGTGTGGAAATCGAAACTTGTCGCTAATGGAGGGGGAGGTAATGGAGAGTTAGCTTGACGTTTCTCTGGCTTGGGCGATCCTAAGTTTGCTATCGAACTCGACGACGATGCTGTAATAATAAAAATTATTATTAAAAACAAGTAGTATAAAAAAATGAGTAAATAAATAGATAAAAAAAATTAACAGATATGATAAAATGTACTAAATATAGGGTGCCCAATGTTCTGCATACATGGAACTTCATAAATGATTACAAGCCACGTGACCAGTAATTTTGTTTGAAACAGTAATTTTATTTCCTTTATGGTGGCAATTAAATTTCGTTAAAATTAATAGTTATTAAAATAGTAAGATCAAGATTACATTAAAACACAACATTCTGTTTCACCGACTGTGATTGGTGGAATTTTTCACGAGATTCTATTCAACCAATCGGGGATCACATTATCTCGAGCGTAGGCGTAACGGTTTGTTACTGCTCATTGCAAATGAATTATTAATATTGGAGACATTGGAGACAAGATTTAAGGATTTTTCATTACCAGTACCAGTCATGCAATGTTGGGTTGCCTAAGCTGGGGTCATGTGCCTTGTAAACATTTATGAAGGCTCTGTACCTACAGTCTTGAAGTCAAAACAAATGATTGAACTGTGGTGTATGGTGTAATCGTCATGTCAGTGCAGACGTCAGTAACAAGGTGTAGACTCCGAACCTGCTTCCTTTTTGACAGGAATAACTATATACACAGAGTTCCATTTTAATGTACCAGGCCGCATAATTATTTAATTCCAGTTTTATAAAAAAATATTTTGAACAAAAGTTATCAGGTTTCGAGGGGGTCAAATTATGATGACCTTGAAGTCAATTATCAAGGTCATTTTAAGGTCAACCTTGATTTTTTAAATGGAAACCCATATTTTTATTACAATTGTCATGCAAAAGTTACATATTTTTTCCCGCAGAATACGAATCTGCAATAAAAAATATGGGTCTGCATTTAAAAAATCTAGATTGACCTTGAAATGACCTTGATAATTGACTAGTTAATTTCAAGGTCACGGTAATTTGACCCCCCGCAATCTGATAACTATTGTTGGAAACATTTTTCACCATCCTGCTTATTTCTTCAGATATTAGCCTGAGAATTAAAATGGAATAGTAAAAGTATAGTGCACTATGGCGAGAGAAAGAAGCATATTCAAAAAAATTTTTCATACAAAAGTTACGTATTTTTTTCCGCAGAATACGAATCTGCAATAAGAAATATGGGTTTCCATTAAAAAAATTAAGGTTGACCTTGACATGACCTTGATAATTGACTTCAAGGTCACCATAATTTGACCCCTTCCAACCTGATAACTTTTGTTTGAAAAATTTTTTTTATGACGAATTAAAAAAATTATGCAGCCTGGTACATTAAAATACTATATATACTTTTTCAAATAATTAATATTAACCCATAAACTTTTTGCCATAACTTCTTTTTCACTTAAAAGATTTTATATATTTTTTTTAATTCATCATTGTAATTAAAGATAATTTAACAAAACAGCATGCACAACGTCGAGAGGACATCCCCGCACAGGCTGAAGTTCTGCGCTGAAGTCTGATCATTGATCAACCATCAGAATGTTGGCACACCGTGTACAATTGATCGATGATCAGACTTCACCGCAGAGGGCACAACTTCCATGTTCTCGTTCATCATTCAGGAAATAAAGAAGCTAGACTGAGAACTAAAAAATAATACCTTACACGCTATCTGTCCTAATATATTTTTTATTTGTACTGAATGTCTTAACAAAAATTCTAAAATTAGAATATAATTACAACGGCCAACAAAAAAAAAAAAAGGTATGTGAACTTTACATGCAGCATATGATTTCCTGTGTATTTTTATCTCCTGAGCACAAATCCATAGTCTGTTTTGCTCAATCACCCTTCAGTTTCCTGTAAATCGTTGAATACCTTCAGAAAATAGCTAAAAATCTTCAGTAAAATGGAGACATTTAGGAAATGACGAGATCTTGACATTTCGACGAAATTTTCTATCCTGAATACGATTCCGATGTCAAAATAACCGTCTAGTGTTCGCTGAAGATCTTCAGAAAAAGGGCGAAATCTGAGAAGTGCCGAGATAATGACATGCGGTATATGTTTTCAGACATACTGTTACCTTCTGAATCCAAATCCAATGTCAGATTTGCTCCATCCAAGAGGTAAAATTACGTCGAAAAACATGTGTCAATTTCTCCATTTTTCTGAAGATTTCTGAAGATGTTCAGCGATTTACGGAAAACTAAAGGGTGATGGAGCAAAACAGACTATGGATTCGTGCTCAGGAGACAAAAATACACGGGAAACCAGATGCCGCATGTAAAGTTCACATAACTTTTTTTTTTGTTGGCCGGTAATTATTAATCAAAATGTTAATCACTCCTCAATTTATGTTTTATTTATGCCAAATAGATAAACATATACGATTTGTTGGTCTATTTAGTTAAAAGCACCTTTATTATAAAAAATAAATAAATAAATTATGTGATGATTCTTTAATATTTTTTTGCCAGCGGTACATGTGATGACGCAAAGACGTTGGGATTTTGTGTGGCTACTGCCACTGCAGAATTTATTAAACCAAAATTTCAAACTGCGTCAAACAATTTCTATCAGTAGAGGGTTTCAGATGGCGATCTTACCTATCGGCATTTTATGTCCATAGTGACATGAAATTATTGTAAACTTTTGCACTTTTTTATAATTATGCAAAAACTTTTAGAAATACAGAGTATAAAAGAAAAAAATTTAAAAAAGTCTTTATTTTTGTAAAAAGAACTACAGTTCTAAAGCTACTGTCAAAAAAAATAGCGGTAAATTTGCTTATTTTTCTCATTTCTACAAAAACAATTAGTTATTATGCCAAAAAAGCATCTATCCGAATGTTTTTAGAATCATTTGAAAAAAGTAAACTTTTTTCTTTTTTCTAATCCAATATTCTCTAATGACTGAATGAAGCCATTTTGGATAGAGGTAAGTTTAGTTGCATAGTCTTATTTTGATCTCAAGAATCTGTGGTAGTTCCTCTGGAATATTGGGATACAGTCTTTATAATGATTACAAGGCACGTGACCAAAAATTCTATTTTGAACAGTAATTTTATTTCCTTCACGTTGGCAATTAAATTTCGGAAAAATTAAAACAATAAGATCAAGATTACATTAAAATACAACATTCTGTTGCACTANAGCCCAGGAAATCATATGCCGCATGTAAAGTTCACATAACTTTTTTTTTTGTTGGCCGGTAATTATTAATCAAAATGTTAATCACTCCTCAATTTATGTTTTATTTATGCCACATAGATAAACATATACGATTTGTTGGTCTATTTAGTTAAAAGCACCTTTATTATAAAAAATAAATAAATAAATTATGTGATGATTCTTTAATATTTTTTTGCCAGCGGTACATGTGATGACGCAAAGACGTTGGGATTTTGTGTGGCTACTGCCACTGCAGAATTTATTAAACCAAAATTTCAAACTGCGTCAAACAATTTCTATCAGTAGAGGGTTTCAGATGGCGATCTTACCTATCGGCATTTTATGTCCATAGTGACATGAAATTATTGTAAACTTTTGCACTTTTTTATAATTATGCAAAAACTTTTAGAAATACAGAGTATAAAAGAAAAAAATTTAAAAAAGTCTTTATTTTTGTAAAAAGAACTACAGTTCTAAAGCTACTGTCAAAAAAAATAGCGGTAAATTTGCTTATTTTTCTCATTTCTACAAAAACAATTAGTTATTATGCCAAAAAAGCTATCCGAATGTTTTTAGAATCATTTGAAAAAAGTAAACTTTTTTCATTTTTCAAATATTCTCTAATGACTGAATGAAGCCATTTTGGATAGAGGTAAGTTTAGTTGCATAGTCTTATTTTGATCTCAAGAATCTGCGGTAGTTCCTCTGGAATATTGGGATACAGTCTTTATAATGATTACAAGGCACGTGACCAAAAATTCTATTTTGAACAGTAATTTTATTTCCTTCACGTTGGCAATTAAATTTCGGAAAAATTAAAACAATAAGATCAAGATTACATTAAAATACAACATTCTGTTGCACTAGCTGTGATTGATGTAGTTTTTCATTAAGTTTTATTCAACCAATCAGTGATCGAATTATCTAGAGCACAGACATAACGGTTCATTGTGAAAAAATCATTAATATTGATGGTAATATTTAGGTACCAGTCATACAATGTTAAGTTGCCTAACCTGGGTGGTCACGTGGCTTGTAATCATTTATGAAGGGTGTATAATAAACATTTATTGTACCTTGTCTGGAATGTGAGTGAGTCTGACTACCGTGTCCAGTTACATGTTTTAAACTGTCAACACTGGGAGGTGGAGGGTGAGGCGCAGGCTCATAATAAAGTTCATCGCCTACTTCGTCTTCCTCCTCTTGTGACGTTGAGGGTGGCGCATTGACCTCTGCTTCGATTGTTATCGGCAAAGAAGGTATTCGAGCATATGTTTCACTTTCGCTATTATAAATAGGGTTGTTCGGATCCGGTATAGTGGTGTAGACATCATCTACAGTAATTAAATTACAAACATTAAATTAAATATCAACATATTTTGATGGATAATTCTTCAAATAGTATTCACAATCAATTTTTTAATGGGTAGATTATTATTATTTTGATGTACAAAAGGGTTGTTTATTATTTTTGAGTAATTTTTTTTATACGATTTATGTAATATTAAAATATTTAACATATGAATTTTTGTTTCTGTGATTAATTGTGAAGACATATAATAGAGAAATTGTTGGAGAGACCCAACTCGAAGTGACCAGTGAATGGCGGACGACCCTGTGTAAATTGGCAGATTTATTTTTGTGCTAAGGTCATTTTTTGTGGTCGTCCTGCCATGTGCCGCATCACGGGGCGAGAGGGCAAGGAGGGAGTGGCTGGGGAGCGTCAGTATAACTTAGCACTTAGAGCAGGCATGTAGGCAGGTTGATGCTCTCGTGATGCTCTCGCTAACAAAAATTCCTTGTATTTGATTTAATTCTATGTTGGGATGTTAACGTTTTATTTGGCAACATTTATTTGTACCTGCACCAATAAACCTTAGTTTATATTTCCAAGGAAGAGTGTTTCACTTATTCTTCATAATTCAATACAGTCCACAACTCTTTGCTTTCGAAGCTGTGTAGTTGAAATTTACGACTTCAATTTACAGAAATATTTGCATTGTTTTTATATTACTGGCCATTGTTGGCATTTCCAACTTAGCAACATAAGATATACAAATGTAATGAAAATTACTAATTCTGAAGCAACCAATATACCTAGATGTGATTATTCCTCCATTTTAATAGTATGTTGAAGATTTCCAATGAAATAAAAATGTAAAACTTCCTTTATAAAAATTAAACACGTTAACTGGGATGCCTACATCCGGTGATATATATTATTATAATATCTATTATATACAGGCTGTTACAAATACGCTTACCATTACAGGCATCTCAGAAACGGTAAGAGATACAAAGTAGCCTAAATGGGGGCAAAGTTGCATAATCAGGAGGCCAACATTATGTTTCTAAAAAATTAAGGCTAACATTATTAGTTTTTGAAATATTTAAAAAAAAAACGAAATTTTGGAAATCCGTTTTTGTTTCATATCTGCCTTGTTTGAGATGATATTGAAGAAAGAAGAACACGTTCTCACGGCAACTTTTTGCCCTCTATTGAATGGTATACCTAATCAATTTTTATATCTAACGTTTCGTCTCTCCAGGACCATCATCAACTTTATTTTTTTAAATACGACTCTGGAAATTTTATTACTTTTTTTGCAAGCCTTCATGACCCCCAATACTGTACTGCCTCAGCCTAAACTAGATTCAGATGTTTTGTCTAGAAAAATTCATCTTCAATGTATTCGTTCCAAATATATCAAATTTTTTATTTAGGTTTCTATGTTTATTGAATTATTGTACACTCTAAGTGTCGTTAGACCCTGTGAAATCCACCTAGTTATTTAAACTATTACCATCACACGTTACAATGTGTACGGTGTACGATAATTAAATAAACATAGAAATTAAAAAAAAAATAGATAAAGAAACAAAACAACAAAAAACAAATACATTGGCTGAGGCAGTATTGGGGGTAATGATGGCTCACAAAAAATGTTATAAAATTTCCTGGGTTGTATTTTAAAAAAATGAGGTTGATGATGGTCCTGGAGAGACGAAACGTTACATATAAAATTTAATTATGCTATTCGATAGAAGGCAAAAAGTTGCTACGAGAAAGTGTTCCACTTTTTTCAATATTCCAACAAAGCTGAAATGTAACAAAAACGAATTTCCAAAATTTAATATCTCAATAATGGCATTTCTAATATATTTTGCGGAAGGTACCTGCGTACATAGGAGAAACACTAGTAAGCACGAATCACAGAAGGCATATGTTATTGTGACAGCAAGGAGTTTATGTTAGATTGTAATTCTGAAATGCTTCTTATCTGTAATTTATAGTGTTCAGTTATTTAAAAAATAATAATAATAATGTTCAAAGTAGAAAGTGTACTGGAACAGAAACTGCAATGTCTAACTGAAAATATTAAGGACTTGCTGGAAAAAGACGGATGAAACAGAAGGTAATAACAGAACATAAGATAATGTATAGGTGGATAAAAATTGTGAAGAAATAAATCCTATAGTAAACAGTAATGTTAGTAATACTCTTTTAGTGTGACGTCACAACCAGCAACAAATTGTCATAGTTGAAATTGTACAGACCGAATCTGACCCTTGTGTCCTATTTACATAGATACCTACTATAAAAATGAACAACTTCAAATTAATTTATTTTTACAAAGATTTGGAAGTATTTAAGAACAACCAACATGTGTTTTGTAAAATAGATACACTAATGTGCTTAAAACTTACAAAAAATACAAAAAACGATATAAAAGAATATTCCTAAATTTAAATAAAGAAAAAATTTAACATTAGCTGTGTTATTCTTAATGCTCATGCTCGGAAAGAATAACCTCATACGCAGGTGAGCTCCTGTTGATATGTTATCGCTGTCATCATTAGAGTATTTTCTCTTGTTTTGTTTAATATGGGCATTTTCTAGTTCTACTAAGTATTGTTATTGTTTTTCTTGGTGTTGTACTGTCTCAGTGTGTTTATAAAGTGTTTTTTTCTTCAAGTGGTTTATTATAGACGTACTCTTAACCATAACCAAACTTTCCTTGAATGATATCCTGTTGCGAGGCTACTTCGTTTACATAAAATTATCTTTAATGCCCATGCTCAGTAACATTGATACGATTTTAATTTATTAATTACTATAAAAGTCAATATTCTATAAATTTAAATATATAAATTCTATAATTCTAATAGTTTGTCACATGGGGTTTGAAACTTCTTAAATATTTCTAATATTGCCAGAATATTGCAATATTTAAGGTCATGACAAAGAAGTCATTTTTTTGGCACTTATGTCCAAAGTACATAAGATTGAAAATCGATCTAGTGAAAATATTGGGAAATTTTACATGACAATGTGCACTATGGGGTTGCCTATTATTTGGCGTATGTGACGTCACTACTAAAAAGGTCTATAGCAAAGATGTTGATAATTAGTTCAGCAGTCAAGATACTGTAAAAGATAGATGCTGTGTACCATCGTCATCAGAAGATATGTCAAACAGTTTTCCTAGTGTAGTAGCAAACACAAGATAATTCTGAACTGGCTACTTCTATGATTAACATATGTTAGGTTAAGCTAGCAACCAATGACATTGAGCTTCTTAATGATTCGTCAAAGAAATATTACTCGAAAGAGCGTTATTAATTATTAAATTTTTAAAATTTAAAGTTCCCGCAAACAAAAAGTTTTTGTTTTGAATATATATCTTTTGTCTATTTGTTCATTTCTCAATGTGTACAGATCTAGATTCATACCTGTTTATAGCAATAATTGTGATATTTTTTTATTTTATGGAAGATCAAATGTAAAAAAACTTACATACCCCAGGGTGTATAAACCACATACAAAAAAAGTTTTATTACATATCCCCAGGGGCATGTATCGCAGTTACGAACAAAGTACATTGTGTCTGCCTCAGTCAACGTGTTAAACAAGAAATTAGTAATAGTAATGAAAATTCTTTAATTTCCAATCTAATAAAAGCCAGCAGAAACTTACCCGAGTCATCCGAAACTGTAGAATAATGAGGATCCAGTTCTCTCTTATTCTTATTCATTTGTTTCGTCTGTGCAATTATATTTGCCAAAGGCTCTCTAACACTAATACTGGTATAACCCTCTGAAAACGGAGAGTACTCAATATTTGATGGATATAAAAAAAAATTATATTATCTATCAAACACATTCCAACAAAATACAAATTAAAACGATTTAAACAACAAAACAAATGTAAATTTTTCCAAACAAACACTCTACCTTCGAAAACAACACATAATAAATTTTACACTTACTTGAAGAGTCTTGTGAATCTCCACTAAAATTTGCCTGGGTGACCGGAGGGGTCATATAAGGCAATTCCGGACTAGCTGCTAAAACACCTGCTACAGCCGATGCAGCAGGGATATCAAGCCCACCAGCACTATGCGAGGACGACCTCCGAGATCTAGGCGGTGCAGAAGGTTCACTAGATGTACCTGCTCCTTCCACCCTAAAAATTGATTATGTTTGTAATTTTTTTACAGACATGTCTGTACTGACTCAAAATCGAGCAGATATTAAAAAAATCCAAACATTTTCTATAATCCAATACACAGTAACCTTAGAACATATACAACATAGATGAAGCACACTTACGGCGACAGTGTAGACGAGTGACGGAGAGAGAAAGAGTTAGTTTGGACACTATTTTTCTCTCTAGTGCATACGCGTGATTGGCTAACACAACTCCCTGGTGATATTCAAATAAAATTAAGAGAGAGAAAGAGAGCGAGTACCCAAACTATCGCCCTTTCTCTTTACAGTATAAAGTCCAGCAGGAGCAAAATCCAATTACAAGAGTTTAATAGAAATATGTAGTGGTTTTAAGATTTTAATAGTTTATAAGTAAAAGCCATAATATAGAGTAAAAAATATCTAGAATATAAAAAAATAATAATTACAGTAAGTAAAAATACATAGAAGAGAAAATCATAATTTACTGATAAGAAAAGAAATAAATACAATGAATATTGTCAAAAGAATAAAATAATAAGAATAGTTAGAAAACGTAGATATTAAATTTTAATTTGTGTCAAATATAAATAGGGGATTTTAACATTAAGCTGATTATAATAGTTTATTAATAATACAGAGTGTTAATGATATAATTTGCCAAACTTTAATGGTGGATTCTATAGAGTTATTATAAACATGTCCGAAAACATTTCATGTTCAAGACACAGTGTTAAAATTTGAAAAAAAAAAAAGAATATTTACTGAAATATCACTTACAATGTTTGACCTAGATTTGTAAAACTTGGACTAATGACTTGAATAATTATGGACAAAAATTTGCTGGGATGGTAAAGCTGCAGACCAGTGGCAGAAATATTTTAGCACTGTTGTTTGACAAATTTGTATATACCAATTCAGCNAGCGAGTACCCAAACTATCGCCCTTTCTCTTTACAGTATAAAGTCCAGCAGGAGCAAAATCCAATTACAAGAGTTTAATAGAAATATGTAGTGGTTTTAAGATTTTAATAGTTTATAAGTAAAAGCCATAATATAGAGTAAAAAATATCTAGAATATAAAAAAATAATAATTACAGTAAGTAAAAATACATAGAAGAGAAAATCATAATTTACTGATAAGAAAAGAAATAAATACAATGAATATTGTCAAAAGAATAAAATAATAAGAATAGTTAGAAAACGTAGATATTAAATTTTAATTTGTGTCAAATATAAATAGGGGATTTTAACATTAAGCTGATTATAATAGTTTATTAATAATACAGAGTGTTAATGATATAATTTGCCAAACTTTAATGGTGGATTCTATAGAGTTATTATAAACATGTCCGAAAACATTTCATGTTCAAGACACAGTGTTAAAATTTGAAAAAAAAAAAAGAATATTTACTGAAATATCACTTACAATGTTTGACCTAGATTTGTAAAACTTGGACTAATGACTTGAATAATTATGGACAAAAATTTGCTGGGATGGTAAAGCTGCAGACCAGTGGCAGAAATATTTTAGCACTGTTGTTTGACAAATTTGTATATACCAATTCAGCAAATTGTTGGCTACGATTAATTAGTTCAATTATTAGCTTTACTTTTATAAATTTATGTCAAACACATTAAAATATTTAAACGCAATTTCTTTTTATTGCAACACCCTGAATCTCAAAAAATATAGTTTCCGACAGAGGTTTATTGATTTGTGTCGTAGAGTACACCATTAAAGTTTCGCAGAGTATTTTATATAATAAACATAAATTTTAATATAGTAAATATAAAAAACTAGAAGTAAATCAGCTAATATTCCACCAAGAAAATTGTACAGGAGATTTTCTGACCAAAAATAAAAAAAACTTATCTTAAATAATATAAAAAGAAATAGAGGATAAAATAGAGAATCTGTCTTGTTCTCCAGAGAATAATCAATGTCACCGCAACACAAAAATTTGAGAGCTAGAAATGTGACGGCTCCTAAAAAAGTCACTCTGTAGATTATTTCGAAGCATAAATTCTCTCCGTCCCCAAGTGATAAATGTACTGAATGTGAAATAATGTATAAAACGAATCAGGATAAACGAACTAGGTTCATACAAACTTGTTTTATTACTTTTAGTAAAAAGGTCACTTATAAAATTTTGTTGTTATTGCTTATATTGCTTATACACTCTGTATCTAAAGTTCTTTTTCAAACTTAAATAAAATATTCTAAGTCACAAATTAACAAAGGAGGTTTCTATAAACATATGTCTAGAAATGCTTCGTTTATGGTTAGCAAATTTGGTAAGTGGCTTTAGTATTTGACTACTCACACCTCTATATGAAACAATTTTTTTAATTCCAACATATTTCAAACTGGACTCACTATTATAATACCAAATACTTCAAAAAATATGTTCGCGCCGCATGTCGCTAGGGTGCCCTGTTTTCAATATAAATGGCAAAATGTCATAGCGTGTATATGTAATTATTGCTAAAAGTGTCATATTATTATTTAGATAATGATAATTTAAGTTATCCATCAATAAACTAAAATGTATGCAGTTTTCCTCAATTGTCTTATGCAACTTGTAATATTTTATATTTTTATTAATTCTGAGCACCCTGTACCCCAAAAATCAATTTGGTTGGACATATAATTGTAGAAATTCTTTTTTTATTAATTTGTGAAGTCGAATTCATCCGAGTTGTGATGTAGAACCCACCATTATAGTTTGCCCGAGCATGTTACACCCTGTATATTACAATTATTAATGGGTATTACCTCAACAAATTAACCCGTTCTTCTGAGGTCGACTGATTTTCTTCATGCACAGTCGGTCTTACTGTCGAGGGTTGAAGCTGTGCGTAAGGGTGTTCCTTTGATTTTATTTTATCATATTTAACCTTCTCATATGGTGAAAAGGTATCATCGGCTTGACTTATTGAACTGTGCTGGGATATGCTGGGTCGGGACTCAATGCCGTTCGTTAAGGTATGTCTTTTTGCTATAAAGATCAATTATACATCAATATTATTTCTCTTTTCTAATATTTCACAATTTTCATGACGAAGATTTATTCATTTAATCGATGTATTTTGAAATGTAAATTTGAAAAATGGTAATATTTTATGAAAAATATACCTGCATTCTGGTATTGTCCCACTGTAGCGTAATGTTCAGAAGAATTATCTCCAGCAGGTTCCCAATTTACAGTAGCCCCTTGTTCGGATGGGATATCAGGTAAACTTCTTCTAGTATTAGTGACTGCATTTCTACAAATATTAAATTAAACAGTTAAAACAGTTTTGATTTCCATAATAATTGAGATATTACTGACCACATGCACAATAACAGCTATATTCAAAACTACTTTGCAATAATTTTTATTTAAATACACGTTGCCACAAACTCACTGAAATTTTGCCTTTTAAATCATTAGCATAGATCAAGGGGCAAACTCCGAGTCCAAACTGTGAACTTTAATTTGCATTTTTGCATTTGATATCCATAAATTTCTTCCCTTACATACAATACCTATATTAATTTACAATTAATGCCTGCCGGCTAATGTCTTAGTAATGATCGTAAAGCTGTAGTAATTCCCTTCCTTGCAATATTTAGGAACCATTATATAAATATATATTTCTCAGCAATGCCAGGATCTTGTAGGAAATAATGGCCTAGCAGTTTGCCTCCGAGAACAAATTTTATAAACTGAAAAATATCGTTCAGGATAGTTGCGTGATTTTGATATTTTTTGTGATGTGTTAGTCACTCTATATTTTGAAAATTACATAGTTTTGGTTCACATACACATATATACAGGGTGGCCAAATGAAAACGAAACAGAGCCATTTTCAGGAACTGTGTTAAGATTGTAGAAAAACGCTCAGACCCGTCGATTTTAGATTAAAAGGGGACATTCTTTGTTGGTATTTTTGACTCCGCCACTTTCACTCCCAAGCAAGGGTAAGCATCACCCCAAAATATTTTAATGGCATTGGGGGTTGAGTAATATTTCTTTTGAAAGCTGTTACAATTCTCTTTACAACAGACTTATAATTCAGCTCAATACTTTGAAAAAAATATACATTTTAAAATTTAAATTATGTTTAGTTGCTTACTTACTACTTAGTTGATAAAATGTTCAAACTGATGACAGCCCGCTTTCATAGAAGAATAAAGATTTTGTTCAAAACGTTCGCGCACATTCCGAAGCATTTCCGGAGTGATTCGACGGCATTCGTCGACGATTCTTTGACGCAAATCTTCCAGCGACGCTGGGGCTGTGTTTTATAGATTTTACTTTTTAGGTACCCACACAAAAAGAAATCAAGGGGCAATAAATCGGGTCATCGTGGAGGCCACTCAATGCTGCCTCTTCTCCCAATCCAATTCCGTAGAAAACGTTGGTCCAAATACTAACGGACAATTAACACATAATGCGGAGCAGCACCGTCCTGTTGAAAAATCAAATGATCTTCATCATACTCTGGAACATTTTCAATAATACCAGTCAAGGCAGGGTCAATAGTGTCTTCCAGTAATTGCAAATACATTTGGTCAGTCAAATTACCAGGTAGAAAAAAAGGACCCACCAGCCGGTCACCGAAAATTCCAGCCCATACATACTCATTATTTCGCAAAATTGCAAACGGCGGTCATAATCATCCTCATGAAGTTCCTGGACTAAATGTATTTTGTATGGATGGAATTTATTCTTCTTCAAAATGGTTTGTATGCTAGTTCGATTGATCCCAGACACAGATGCCAGCTGCCTCATACTTAATGTAGGATCAAGATGAACTTGCCTCAAAACTGCAACTTCACTAGCTTCATTAACTATAGGTTTTTCAATTTCTCATTTTTTATTGGCTACGTTCCCTGTCTCTTGAAATTTTTTTACTAACTCTAGAACATACTTCCTCCTGACATGTCGATCTTGATGTTGTTCATTAAATAGCTGAGCTGTTCTATTTGCACATTTATTGTTCATAAAGTAAAGCGAAATGATATCTACCCTTTCCGCAATGGAATAAACCATAGTGTTTAATTTTCAAAAACACAATTAAATAAACTACCAACCAACGCTTCCAAATAATACGAGTAAATAATTTGGAATCCACTAATTTTATGTTCATTGTGTGTGTATAGCATTCATTTCTGTTTTTTTTGTTTTTTTTTTTTACGAAAGTGATAACAAATTGCCAAAAACCAATGTAACGCAAGAAATACTAAATTTAACTCGAATGACTGACATTTTTACTGTTACTAATTGTTTGTACATAAATTTCAACTTTAAAATCAAAATTCTTAATAAGTATTGGGCAGAATTATAAAATTTAAAGTCTGTTGTAAAGAGAATTTAAGAGCTTTCAAAAGAAATATTACTCAACCCCCAATGCCATTTAAATATTTTGGGGTGATGCTTACTTAGGGGGTGAAAGTGGCAGAGTCAAAAATACCAGCAAATAATGTCCCCCTTTAATCTAAAATCGACGGGTCTGAGCGTTTTTCTACAATCTTGACGCAGTTCCTGAAAATGGCTCTGTTTCGTATTTTTTTAAATAGCCCAATTTATCATCTAAAATATTTTTCACACAGTTGGATTACACCCTGTGTAAACTAGTATATATTTAATTTTGACTTATCAACTTTATAAAAAGATTTTTTTTTATCATACACCAAGCAAAGTGTGGAAAAGTATTAAACAGATGACACATGACACAAAGCGATAGAAACACAAATAATATGTCATGACAATCAGTTAATTAAAAAAAAATACACCAGCCTCACTGAAGAATGAATCAACACAATTTATTTCAAATTATTAATTAGTAAATTCAAGCGCAGATGTGCCCCATTCTATATTATGAATTATATCTTTCATGAAGCTACGAGAATATCCATGTCCTCTCTAGATTTATATTTTGCTACCTCAGCCCACTATCCCGAAACTTCTACAGGGTGATCATACAACGTCGAAAATACCCTTTAACCTATAAATAGTAAAGACAATCCAAAGTTTGCTCTATTGTATATGTCGCAGGCTAATTGCAAATTCAGTCTTTTTATAAAATGCCTAGGCGTCTTATAAGTGACTGGGTAAATTGTAATATGATGTGTAAATACGATTTGTTTATGATTTGACTGAAAATGTTAGGTATTTTAAAAAACGTCGAATAGCTATAAGTGTTATTGTAAACGCATCCTAATTTTCATTTTCTTTAAAATATGACTGACTTTCTCCAGTCGTTTTGTAAACTTCTGAAAATCAATTCGTCATTTCATGAAATATCAATGCCTGCCTTTCTAGTTTTCATTTTCTTTAAAATATGACTGACTTTCTCCAGTCGTTTTGTAAATTTCTGAAAATCAATTTGTCATTTCATGAAATATTGCGTACAAATAAATAGTATTTTTTTATTCTATATAATGTGACATAAAAAAAATAAATGCTAATTCTTACATTTGATTTTTTTAATCTGCAAAGTTTATGTATTGTTACTTATTTGAACAAGCTCCATTCTGGATCTTCTCTAACATATTGGAACCCTAGTTTTTGAAGTGAAAATAGCAAAACAATACTGCTAAAGTCATACCACGGTACAAACACATAACATGAAGAAAAAAACTAACCTAGCGTGTGCCTTAAAATTTGCCTAACTCAAAAGTAGTTTCATTATAATATACCCGAATATGTTCAGTTTATTCTAGGGGCAATGTAAAAATATAGGCTTTTGTGTTCATTTTACAATAAATCTTGTAGCTATTCGGTGTTTTGTAAAACGCTTAAAGTTTTGAGTCAAATTGTAAAAAAATTGTATTTAAATATCATTTTACAATTTGCCTAGTCATTTATAAAATGCTTAGGCATTTTATAAAAAGACTGAAATTGCAATTAGCCTACAACACATATAGTACTTTAGAATGTCAAACGTGCTTGAAGAATAGCAGTATTGTTACCCAAAAATAAATTAACATAATTTCTATCAATACACCTTATTTAATTTATTAGAAAAGTCAGGTTTAGTTATGACCTATTGCATATTACAATTGATACAATCTGTGTTTCTTTTTATAACTTTGTATTTTTTCATAAAACTGTACTTTTTTTAACTGTAATTTTGTATCTTCATGTACCTACTGGAATTAATAAACTCAAATTAATTTAATTGAATAGGTCCAGATCTACAATATTTTATTAGCGTAGCCCAGCATTTTGACAGTGTTGAAGATACCCCATTTGATCTATAAATACTAACCTAGGTTTGCCCTATAGCAAATAATATTTTAGATAGTCACATTCACTTAAAGTATAGTTGTGTGGTCATTTTCCCACATTATTTATTACATCATTTATTACATTAGTAAATTCATGTTCAGTTAACAAGCAAAATGATTTGAATTGAATTATTTTTGTAGCAAACATAAAAATAAACATGATGTAATTTTAATAACTTCAGGCAAATTTTGACGTCTTGTATATGATATTAAAACAAAAGCTTGGGGTGGTTTTCACCCCCTAAGATTCGATTGTTGATTTCTTTTATAAAGGATTAGTTGTATGTAATTTATTTGTAATAAATTCTCATCCAAAAATGAGTTCTCTATCTTAAGTAGATAAAAAAATACATATGACTAGTGTAGCTTCAAAATAAACCATTTGGTACTTTAAATTTGTAATAAATGTGTAATAAACCATGAATTTTAAATTTTGGTGGAGGGGTGAAATGGCACCATAAATCACAAGAGGGAAACCGCAGGAGTAATTTGGTGTACAAGCTTGAGTAATATTGAGTAATACCGAGTAATACAGAGTACTAATGAGTAATGGTTGATACTGAGTAATAATTGAGTAATTCTGAGTAATACTCGAGTAATTCGGAGTAATAGTTGAGTAATTCGGAATAATAGTTGAGTATTACGTGACTCATATACGCAACATAACAGCAGCGCGCGCATGCCATCTAGTTATAGCCTCGACCTTTAGCGATATGTAACTTTACCGTGACATGGAGGTACAAGTGTTGCACTGATTTATGTATAATTATTGTTCTTGTGATTAGTGTTTGTGATTTACAACTAAGGTAAGTTGTAATTAAGATGGATGATATATTGGTATGCTAAAATAGGAATATATTGATATAATTTAAAACTAGAAATTTTAAAATCTGTTAGTTATACAAGGTGTTGAAAAATATGGTAAAAACAACATATTGACAATATATAGTGCTGACCAAAATAAGAAAAAAAAGTTCCTATGAACATG